GTAAGTATATATATATATATATATATATATATATATATATATCTAAGTATTTTCAATGGAAAAAGGTTTGGCAGAAGTGCCTAACACCGTGTCCGAGTCGTAAGTGATCTCTAATGCATCCCTGCGCAGCTATGCTTCAACAATTTTCCTCCCCATCCTTCATCATTGAATCGCTGACGGAAAATGATAGCTAACAAGTTTAGGTGAGCAAGAGTATCCAAGACCGAGCACGAAATATTTTAACGACCCGCCCGCCCAACCCAGTGAACCTAACAGCGCGGTACGGAGTCCCGGTAATAGTTTTCATTTTCTCATTGATTGTTTTTCGTTTCCCATTGATTGTTTTTGTTTTCCCAAATTTGACACGCGCAAATGCTAGTATCCTCTTTGCCGCCACGGAGTAAGTCTAAAGAGGAGGTTTCGAGAGTAGCGAACTTAATGGAGCTGGTCGACTCCATAAGAACATTTGTCATGTAAGGTTGGGTGGGGATCTCTGCAAAGAGGGCGCCAGACCAGAACCGAGTCACGTGGGCCCTCACGAAATGTAGTTTTTCTACCAAGCCGATTTTGCTTTCTCAAATCCGATACGAATAGACCCTCAGCGTGAGTAAGTCAAATGAGTTTTCGTTTTCTGTTTTCATCCTATTGGTTTTACAGCGAGGTGGTTATTTAGCCTCGCCTATGGATTTCGAAATGTCCTGTTTTCGATCTCGTGGGGGTTCGAGGCTTCCCGGCCATAAAAGGAAAAGAGAAATTGAAATTTCCGGAATGGGCTCGTCCGCCCAAATCGCAAGAGCATCGTGAGATGGTCACGACAGGCAGGAAAGCCCGTTTCTTCTTGCTCCTTCATCCTCCGTCCGTAGCTCCAGCAAGACAACAACAAGAAATGTATCTGTGTGGGAGTCGGCGGGAGAGAGAGACACGAGATTACACGAAGAATAAACAAAAGAAGAGCCAGGCAAAACAACAAAAAAACTCAACGTCCCATAACGGCATACGAGTTCCTCCGCAACGGCGGGAGGAAAGCGAATTTTGTGTAGGCGTTAAAAAAGAAGAAGAAGAGGAAAAAAGCGGATGAGGAGAGGAGCATCGTGAAACGGGAAAAGGGGGATTATCTTCAACGGCAAGTAAATATGCGCGCAAAAGCGCGAAAAAAAAAACGTACTCCAGAAAATTAAGAAAAAAAAGTAAATAATTCCCGCTCGCATTCAACGATCGCATAAGAGAAAAAAAAAAGGAACGGACAGCACCGATGAACGACGTGAGGCGAGCAGCAAGATGGAGGAGGAAAACACACACACACACATACACACAAGACAATGTCAGCAAATGAGAGCGCGACGCATCTTGTATAGAAATGCGACCTCACACCCAATGCGGCGTATGAAGAGTAATAGAAATGAACACAAATACACACACACACACAGAGAGAAGAATTATGCAAGACACGCAACGAGCGTTGCTGCTACAGAGGAGGAGAGGGGAGGGAGAGGGAAGGAAAAAAATGGAACGACTGCTGCGAATTAGAAGACATCGGCTGGACGAGCTGGCTTTTATGTGAGAGTGTATAGAACAATGCCACTTCACCACGACAAGAAATGTAAAAAAAGAAAAGAATGCCGCTGCACATTGCAGTTGTATAGAAAACCCCGGTTTTGAGTTCACTTCCATGAGCAGCTCAATAGAAGTAGTAATAGCAAGAGAAGAGACACAAATGAAACGAGAGAATTATATAGAAGGTGACGATGGATGAGGGAGAGATCGATGATAGTATGGAAATCGTGCCGGAAAGATTAAAAAAAAAAACCAGGGGAAAATGCTACAGCGCATTAAACCTATTTTTTGGTTTTTGAAGTGAGAAAGCCACAAGTGATAAATATGAACTACCGACATTAGTAGGAGCAAATGCGACCTAAACTAAGCGCAATAATAATAACAATAAAACACACAACTTTATGGGGGAAAAAAGGGTAGATTACACTATTATTGATCACTTAAGGACTTAGCATAGAGAGATCAACGGAATCAGCGGCTGATGCAGCACGCGAGATAACGAAATCAGAACGAAGTAAAGGAAGAGACTCAAGGATGCCGCCATTCAACAAGAAACAGGGCCGCCGTTAGGGTATCAGAAAGCTAGGTATAGAGAAATATATATATATTTAAAACGATCAATAATAATAATAATAAAGAAGGAGTAAAGGGGAATTAGGACGGAAAGATTCACACACACACGCGACTGCAACCGCAACACAAGAAAATGAAGGAAAGGGCTGTACAGATAAACTCAATGTGGATGATAAAGAAGGATGGAGGAAGAGAGAGAGAAAAAATATTGAGGCAGCGGTAAAAACCTCCAATTTTTAAAGTTCTCTTTCGATGAATATCATGTAGAAGTACAGGAACTACCAAAAAAAAAAGGATGAGAAACGAGTTAAATACCCTTTTAACGCGGAAAGTGATTTCTTCTGTTATCTTTCCTTTGCCGTTCTGACGGAAAACCAAACTAAATGCACGCACACCACAGCAGCTCGCTGACGCTCTCGCCGACTTTTCATTTCCACTCAACGCCTGCACTCTCCTCTGCCAGAGATTCTTCCGGCTGCGGGGATGTCGCCTTCGCGCTACGTCCTTCCAGCACAATTAACGGAATCGGGTTCTCGGGCTTCGACGCGTGCAGCCGCTCCGCGTGCATCGTCCCGAAGGTTGAAATGAGCCCCGTCTGCTGACCGTAGCTGACTTGCAGGTACTTTGCCTCATCGTCGTTGTCGGGGTCGTCGTCCTTGGCGTTGTAGCGACCGTGCAACGCCGTAATCGCCGTGTCTGCCTCCACCGTGCTGCTGTAGGTCACAAAGGCCGAGCCGCCCACCTTACGTCGGGCAGCACTACTGTGTGATGCTGCTGCTGCTGCTGCTGCTGCTGGTCCTGCTGCATTGACTCGTCGCGAGGACTTGCCTTTGTCCTTCAACACCACGACGCTTAGCGGCTTGCCGTAGCATGAAAAGATCTGCGCGACATCCGCCTCCGTGGCCTCGTAGTTGAGTTGGCCGACAAACAGCACCGCCTTATCGCGGTTGCGACGCGTGATATTTTGGGAGGGAGTTTGCGGAGGAGAGGTGATGGCTTGGGGGGCGTCAGTTGAGGAAGCTGCTGCTGCTGCTGCTGTGTTCGTGTTTGTCGAGGACCCGGTCGTTGAAAGACGCAGATCTCGTCGCGGAAAAGCGTGTTGTAGTTGCTGATGGTGCTGCCTCTGGTCTTCTGGGTGTGATTGGGGAAGATGGGCAAACCTAGTCACCGCAGCAGGAGCGCTGCTGTGATGCTGCTGTCGCGGGGGGTGGAATTGGTGCTCGTTTACGCTGTTGTTCAAGGCTGCGCTGGTCAGAGAGGGGAAGGAGATGCGCGTCAGTCGCTGTGAAGGTGCAGGTTCGCCGGTGAGTGAAGACCTCACTTGGCTTTCCATCCGCATCCCCGACGAGACATTCACTCGCTCCGTGTGCACGACGGCGGGGTGACGGTGCTCTTGAGCGGGTGTGAAGGAAGAATAAATAGGCGGATATTGCGGTTGTTGCTGCTGTTGCTGCTGCGGCGGTTGCGGCCCTGATGAAGATTGTGGTAGCCCCTGTGGTGCCTCTGCGAAGCTGAATGAAGTCCTACGCAGGCGGCTCTTCGGAAAGCGGCCCGTTTCTCTATCTGCGGCGGAGGAGTCAAAATGCTGCTGCACTGCCGCATTTCGTGTCGTGGAGTGCCCGCTGTCAATGCGATGCGGGAGCTGCGATGCGGCGTGCGGTGCCGTCGGCTGCTCAATGAGGATGGCCTGCACGGCAGGCCGCACACTTGCTGCCGCGGTAAAAGACAGAGGCTGAAACGCCGTCTGCAGATGACTCGGGAGCTGCTGAAGTGTGAAGTTCGAGGAGGTGCCGTGCGGCTGCGGTAGCTGTTGCTGTTGCTGCGGTCCTGGCGTTTGCGCAAAGGCGGTTCCCAACTTAGCGAAGAAAGTCGCGGACGTGTCCAAGGCCGCCTCTCGCGCATTCGGAGATGCAAACACGAGCGAGGAGTTGGCGGAGGTGGGGTAAGAAGTTGCGTCCGCTGAAATGACCGCTGCGACGGGCACGGATGGCGATGCCACGGTCTTCGACTGCGCAGACAGCTGTGGTGGGGATGGCTGTTGTGGCTGCTGCTTCGACGACCGCTGCGGGAGTGTGCAGTTGCTCAGCGACTGGTAAAGAGCGCTGTTGTCTGTTCTGTCGATGTAGTGCGCGCCGCCCACGCTCAAGTTGGTCTTGAGTGAATCGCCCACGCTTGTCAGAAAGAAAGGTGTGAAGTGGGGAGTGGCGGTTGCCTGCTGGTAGCCGCGGAGCGAATCGGCATCTACAAAGGCGGTGTAGGAATTAACTGTCGCTGCCGTTGAGGACTGGGAGATGGGCAGGTCGTGTGAGAGTGTCATCAGCGGTGAGGAGGGCAACGACTTCGTGCTGTAAGGTCGTGCGGCGACACTGTGCTCCGCGCCCCCACGGCCGGCTTCTCGAAGTGGTGCTTGTACCGTTGTTTGAATGAGAGAAGCCGACACAGGCGCGGCGCTTCTATGAAAGTGCGGTACTGCAGACCATTGAGTGTCTGTCGAGGCTACACAGCTCACTGCCTGCTGCTGCATTTGTTGTTGCTGCGGAGCGCTGTATTGCAACTGCTGTGGTCCACTCGTCACGGTACAGAGGGTGAAGTACGGGCGTTGCGTGACGGTCGCCGTCGTCGCTGCCTCCCGTGGAGGCGACGTGAGAAGAACCTGCGTGGGCGGCGGTGGTGGCGGCTGCGAGGCGGACGATTGAGCGGGTTGTGGAGTGGTCCTGCGTTGCGCGGGAGCCGAATTGCCCGACGAGCTGGACTGACCGTACATCGAGGCAACCGCAGCTGCTTCTTTGTATTCGCTTTCCTTTTTTTTTGGAGAGGTTTTAAACGAAGTCAACACCACTCTAGACAGCCAGCCATACAACTGCGAGAGGTGCCTCACGGCGGATGCTAATGAACACGCACGCACACACACACACACACACGCAAATACAAAACTGCCCGCTGAGTACGTTTCGTAGAGTCGGGTTTAAAAAAAAAGCGAGTTAGAGACACATATAACAGTGTATATATGTATGCTGCAACACACTTCGCGTTAAAAAAAGAAAGAGGCAACGCGAGAAGAGAAGGCACCGAGAAGAGTTCCTTCTTCCTCTTCACACCTGCGGAGGGCAGAGTATTGTGCTTGTGCGGGTGTGCGGCACCTACGCAACAACGACACGCCTACTGTCCAAAAGTGTTGATATCCCCTTCCCAGATAATTGCGGACAAGGAGCGAGAATAACCACACGCTGGCCCACCTCGGAGACGTAAAAAAGAAAAACACAAAAAACAAAGAGGTTAAGTTAACAGCTCCTAAAAAGAAAAGGAGCTCTGTAAATCGAAGATGGAGGAGGGAGGGAGGGGTGGAGGGAGAACAAGACACGAGGAATAGAATGAGAGAGAGAGAGAGAGAGCACCATAAAAACAAACAGCGAAAATAAAGAATTAAAATGAGAAGAAAAAGCGCGCGGCCGAAACAGAAAGAGGAAAAAAGGAAAGGGAACACACACACAAAATTGTAAATGGACACCTGCGCGTTTTAACTTTGCCTGTGATGGGGGTGGTGCAAACAAGCAAAAACAAGCAAAAAAATAGATGGTAAAAGACGAAGGCAGCAACGATAAGCAAATATCTACGTGAGGCGTTTGTGTCGTGGTGGGCGTAGAAAGGAAAACAACAAAAAAACCGTTAATTGTTATTGTAAAATATTAATGATAGTGATAATCGTAAACACACACACACACACACACACAAAGGAAGCGAGAAGGAGACAAAAGGAAAATCGGGGAAGAGAGTTCGGGACGCACAACGATCGGTAGCTTTTCTTTTCTTCTGGAAGAGCAAAGGCAAAAATATGAAAATGCACGCAAAACAACAATAACAACAGATAACAATATATAGTTTCGAACAGAGAAGAGAGAAACACACTTGCAGAAGAAAAAGAAAAAAAGACCCTGGGAGAATCAGCAACAAACAAACGAGTGAACAACGAATAAGAATATACAATATAGTTGAACAAAACAGTTCCTTGACACGGAAAGCAGAGCCAGACTAGAAAAGGCTGCAAAGGCGCAGGCGATGTGGGTGTGTGTGCGCGCTAGAAACAAGAGACACACAGGAGAAGGCTATCTCGTGCCTATTCCTCGCTACGAGCGCGTGTGAATGACAAGACGCGTTGATGCAGTGCACTCTTCGTGTGTGCCCGTCAACAACAACAGCAGCAACACACAGAAAACCCCACAGAAGATAACTACACTGCTCTTATACTCCTTCGTGTGGGTGCGTAGTAGTTCTTATTATGTATGTGTTCCTTCTCTTCTTCTTGCAGTAGGATCACTTTTCTCCTTCGTGGAAATATCGAGTTTGCCTTGTTGTTATCAACGCGTCTGCGTGGCAAGAACACCAGAGGGAATTTTATTTTTGTGCTGTTATTGTGGGGACTGTGACATCAGAAAACTCGTGAAGAAGGACAAAGAAAGAACGCCGTGACAGAATAGTTCAGAAAAGGAATGATGCTCAAATTCTACATTGCGCCGATGCAATTTTTTGCGTCACCAGGACGCATATCATCACCTACGGCGGCTTCTGGTTAGTTGCCGGACAGCCATAACCTTCTGTCGTTGGGGTTTCTTGTGGAGAGAAAGAACCGATATTTAAAAACAGAGGCCACGTTTTCATTTAGAATATATACATTCAACCACGGCAGTTGTCGGGCAGCCCCCATTTGGTCCTTTCATAGAGTTGCGGAGTGAGAAACGGTGTTTTCTATTATTTCTTCAGCGTAGAATCGGCTTCTCAAAGGAGAGAGAGACGTAAGCACGCGTACGTAGCAGAGTAGTTCAGCAGCCCATACGGGAGGAGAGGCAGACTCTTGGTAAACCTGTTCTGAAAAAGAGCAGAAAAGGCAAACATAAATAAAACAACCGAATAAGAAAAGTACAAAAGAAGAAAAGCAGTGAAAGTAGAACATCTGCAAGAGAAAAACATCAGTAGTACGCACGCGTTAATTGCCAGTCCACCGCACCAAGGACGGGTACTCGTCGAAGGAAACACCATGGCTGCTCTTCCCCACCATCGTGCGATTGCGCATCAGTGCCCGCCGCTGCCACCGCCGATGCGCGGCCGTCGCCGCCACAAGATCTCGCTCTACCTCTCGGGGCGTCAAGCGCAGCCGCTGCACGAGCCACCAGCTTTTCGTGTCGCACAACGTGGCCCAGCACGCGGCGGACAGCGTCAACTCCCCGCGAGCGATGAGGGCGGCGTAGCGGTCAACCGTCAGCAGGAGCTCCGCCAGCCCACCGCCAATCACGTTGCGGCGGAAAGAGAGGAGCTGCGATGGACGGGAAGGATGGGTCGAAGCCGCGGACGCAGCAGGCTCAGCACCTTCGCGTGCGACGACCTCCTCGTTTGTCTCGGGACTGTAGATGCGCACGTACGGCGCGGCCAAGACGGTCTCCCGCGGCGGCGTCCGTCCATCGCCGTCGTTTGAAGACGTTGCGGCCGATGCGGACTGCGCTCGCGTCGCCGCCTCCCATGTTTCTTCGGTGGGTGGTAGCAGCAACGGCGGCGCGACAGCGGCAGCGGAGTCGCGTGCGTGCGGCGTGTTCGCCAACCAGCGCTCCATCACGTTGAACACAGACAGGGTGTATGCATCGCGATAGTCCCCCACGTCCAGCTTTAACTCCCCCACCGGTGTGGGTGCGGTAAGCATCCAGAGGGCGGCGGTGACCGACGGCGACATCCCCCGCCATTCCAGTCGTCGCACTTCTCGCTCGTATAAGGAAGCGGAGGCGGGGGCGCGGTTGTCCGCTTCACACACGCGAGCGTGACGGGCGATGACGGCGTCGCGCAGCTCCGGGTGAAGACGCGGTCGGTTCATGAGCACCTCATTTGTGGGCAGCAGTAAAAATGGTGCTAGATAGAAGTGGCGACCACCCGCCGTTGCATTGCTCTCGAACCCGTTTGTGCCGACTTCACCATCTCCGCCTCGGGCGGTGGCGGCGGCCGTGCGGGAGAAGCTGCGTGGATGACGCGCGAGCCGCACCTCAATTGGTCTCCACTGCCACAGACACCCCAGCCACTCAAAGACTGGCGAAACTTCAAAGGACGCCAGAGGACCATAAAAGGGAAACGTGCCTTTGCGACCTCTCCCACTGCCGCTGCTGCTGTTGCTCTTTTTGTTGCTGTTGTGGCAAAGCGCTTCGGTCGGCTGCGCAGACTCCGCATCTTCCTCTTCGACCGCCGTGGTCACGTCCACTTCCGCACGCACCTCCTCTCCTTCGGGTGACGTGTGCGGTGGTGCATCATCGGCCAGTTCTGGGTTTTCTGCTTCTGCGCCGGGCTGCTGCTCGCGCCACTCGAGTGAGGCGTGGTAGCCGAGGGCATCGTGCACCCAACCGGCAAAGATACCTTGCTCCATCTCCCACACGTCTTCCGACGTGGCGGGGTCGTCGAGTCGCTGCGTGGCACACGCCGAGGGAATGATGTGTGCTGTGCCTGCGACGGGGTGTTCTGCTCTGTGTGCGGTGAGGGACTTGCTGAAGTAGAAGCTCTGCGCGGTACGTAGCGTCGGCGCGCGTGTGCATCGCTGCGACGCATTTCTGACGGCCATGGACGCGAAGCGAAGCATTCGCAGAATCGTGCGTCGGAGGGCGCGGTAGGTGTTAAAAAAAAAAAGACCACAAGCGCAAGGAGGGCGGCGGGCAGCGTCGTGCGAAAGCCACCACGCGAGTGCAATTGTTATATCCGGCCTGTTTAGGGAAGACAATGTGCCTGACCATTCATCCGATATTCATGAACAGCGGAAAAGTAGAACAGCAGAGAAAAACGGTGAGAGACCAGACAGAGAAAATTGAATATTTTAGAAAGCATAGCTTCGCATCAATAATTGTGCTAGCCGCTGTTTCGCTTCTTCTTTTTCCGTTTTCCAATAAAAGATATCAGTGGGATCATGCAGTCGGCATCCTCTTCGTTGAAAAACAAAAGTCCACCACAGACCCACCAGCAATGCGCGCCTTTCTTTTTTTGTTCGTTCTCATGTCTCTGACTTTCCAGATTCATTCTTTTCTCGGCGGGGTGTTGGCGCCGCGGCAGTCACGGAGACAGCGTCTGTGCAGATTCGCCCTCTCTCCCTCATTGCCCTCCCCCCCCTCAACGCACAGAAACAGATTTTTCATTATTCGAAAGAACGTTTATTTCTTAAAGTGGCGCAAATACGCACACACACTCTCACGGAGGGGGATAGGTGACGTTTGTTTTCGAGTACCACCGGAGCCAAGAAAACATTAGAAAAAAATAAAAGGAGCGCCCAGAAGAGAAAAGGGTGAGGAGGGCTAAGTGTTAAAGAGTATCAGAGTAACAACAACGGAGCGGTTCGCGTACAGAGAGAGAAAGAGAGATAAACCCGCAGAACCGGAAAAGGAGGAGGAAGAAAAAAAAAAGGGGGAGGATAGACATCCAACTTTGAAAAATATATTCATAGTTTAATGAACTTAAACCGTTAGCGTAGCAGCAACAGAAGCAACAACAACACCAAAAAAAGAAGCACACACGCACTCACGCATGCAGCCAAAAAGAGGAGTAGAAGAAAGAAACTATATTGAATTTATATATATGCTTACAACACAGTGGTCCAGTGCATTTATATGCGCGTACGCTTTTCCGAGAGCGCTTCCCCAAACGAATCGTTTCTTGCCTTTCACGGACCCTTGCCTTGCCTTCGGTTTTGTTTTGTACTTCGATGCGGCCGGAGGCTGTCGAGATGATAGGCGCATCTTGCGGGAATGAAGAGACATAGCAAAGGGAGAGGGGGGGGGGGAGAGAGGCAACAAGGAAAAGAAAAGAATGAGGTCAGCTCTTCGTCTCCGCAGCACAGCATACAGCAGAACAATACAAAAAATAAAGTGAGCATCAAAAGAAAGATACAGAAGAGCAAGACACTTGCACCTCACCATACAGAGTTGGTTACCGATTCCGCAGGTTCGATCCTTGAAACTCCTGGCAGGTTCTTGACCCTTAAGTGGTGATAAATAACCCACAGAGGTTCGACTTAACAACGGGATCCGGTACGTGATTATTATTATAGCCTTTTCTTTTGCACCATCCACCATTGCAAGCCGTTGAAGCTTCCCTTCCCTCCCTGGTCTGATTACAATTAGCAGATATATATAAACCTACACAAGAGCATCACATTAATCCAGAATGGAAGCACGGAAGTAAATCAAAACAAATAGAGGCGTTGCATCATCGATTATACTGGCACGATGACGTTAGAAACAGAAAGGGAAAAAGCGTTAGGGGACACAAACGGTAACGAGAACAAACAAAACGTGCAGGCTATGAGTTCCCTCCAACGACAAGATACACATAAACGCGGCGCCTCAAGGAGGAGAAAACCTCGAATGCGTGAAGCGTATTTATCCTCGTTCACAATCTCTTAATCATTTCCTTGACGAGACTTGTGGTCAAGCGCCGTAGTACATCAGGGCCGCAGCGGATGAGCTAAATAGCGGCGACATCACGCAAATAAAAAAAGAGAGAAATATGCTGCACTGCCTCGAAAAACCACTTTGTTTCCTTCCTCGTCCCACACCACCTCCAAACCACGGACAATCCATTATATTGAAAAACAATAATAATAAAAAGAAACTGCTTACAATTACCACTATTAAACGAGAGCAACATGGCGAGAAGACAATAGAGACACACCCACACACCGACAATGAAAACCAAAAACGAGAAGCAGCGGTCTCGTAAGTGCGACGTGGCAACAGTCGGGGAACCAAACAATCGATAGAAAGAAAAAAATAAAAAAAGAAAGCAAAATAGTAACATAGAACACTCGGTGCAATGCTGCATCGCGTACGAAATAAAAACCTTGTTTCCTGCATACAAAGGATGGAAAGGGACGGTCCACGAATCCGGGTACGGCCCGCATTTCCGCATTCCTTCTTCCCTTCTTCTTTCTACTTTCTGCGTGTTTCTTTCGAAATCGTCCCCAAACCGCGCCGGTGGACAGCCCGGACACCTTTCAATGAGAGAAGAACACGTCTTGGATGGAGACCGCCGTGCCCAGCACCGTTGCCGCCGCGCCGAGAACCACCATCAGCACCATCATACACCACTCCGAAACGGAGTGACAACGTGCAATGTGGTTGTAGTGCATCTGCCAGCGGTACAGCCCGGGGACGGTGAAGCACAACGTGGAGCTGCACAACCCGCCGAGCAGCGCCACCACCGAGACGATGCCCGGCACAATCAGCGCCACAGACACGCAGAGCGTGCTCAAGGTGATGCTGATCAGCAGGTGGTCGCGTGCGGGGATGGTCTCGATGCTGTTGTGGTGCTTCTTCGATTTCACGACGTACTGTAGTTCTTCCTCGACGCTTCCATACGTCTTATTCAGAGTCTCACCGGCTTCACCCTCCACAAGCGACAGCAACTTCAGTTTTTCTTCTTGGTCCACGAGACGGGTAAAGTCTTTGCTGCGCGGCACGTGGGTGGCCACGGAGGCAGAGCTGTAGCCGTACCACAGAATAAAGATGGAGTCGCGAATTGGAAATAGCATGATGACAAACGCTAAGATGATCGGGGCCGCGTAGAGGACGTAGCCCACCGTGAAGAGCCGGTCGACCTTCGGGTCGTAGTTGCTGATGATGTTGTCGCGCACGTCGATGGGATTCGAAATGTAGCCGAAGAAGCCAACGGCGGCGTGGATGACACCCGTCACGATCAGGCTGAGCACCGACACCTTCATCATGTTGCTACGGCGCATATCATCCAGGCCGGCGTAGATCTGGAATACGAGGGACTGACAGTCGAAGGAGAACATGATGATGGGCAAGGCCAGCAGAGGGTTGACGCCCCACCACCACGACGCCGTCGCGGTGCCGCTCGCCACGGCCTGCGCCGTCATCGCGGACGGCTCCGTCGGCCCCGGCACGAAGTAGCGGAAGATGATCATGCAGCAGATCAGGCTGGTGGCCGTGATGGCGAGGAAGGAGGAGACGTGCAGCGCGCCGAGGGTGGGCACGCAGGACAGCGGCAGGATCAGCACCGTCCACACCGCCAGCAGGGTGTGCTTCGACGTGGTGAGCAGCGGGAAGTGGCTCGTCACCAGCGGCTGCAACGGCGCCACAAGATCTTCTACCACGACGAGGTAGCTAATCGCAGCCCCGGTGTTGTACGTAATCAGCATCCACCGAATAAATTCCTCTGCATGGCGGCCCAGCAGCTCACCGGTGAGCTCCTCGTACGAGTTACGCCCCAACTTGTCCACGCCGAGGATGATGAAGTCCACCGAGAAGACGGTGAATACCGCCACTCCGGTCAGCACCAACGTAGCGGGGATGATGCCGGCATCTGCGTAGGCGGACGGGAGGGTGAGAATACCAGCACCCATGGTGGTGACCGCGAGGCTCAGCGCGGCGCCGAGGGTGCTACCGCTGTTCACGCGGAAGGCTGCCAAAGACACCATGGCGAGTTGCTACAGAGACACAGGTGAAGGGGGAGAAAAAAAAAAGAGAAAAATAGAGAAGCGAAAGAGAAACACGGCAGCGAATGCAGTACTGCGACCTACAGTCCAAGCTGCCAGACCACACTGACCCACTTGAACGCACAATGAACGGGCAGACCACCTTTGATTGAGAAGGCGAAACAAGAAGCGGCAGTTAAGCAAAGGTGATTGGGAATGCGTACATTGATAATGCGTGAGTTTGTGTCTCTCTGCAGGCGATAGATGAAGAACACGTTTTCCGATTTCATCCTTGCCATTATTATTATTATTAAGGACGCCAACAATAATGAAAGGTTAGATGCGCCGTGTGTGAGATCGCATATATGTGCAGTTTTGTTTCGAAGAGGGAATGTGGAAGAAGAAGCAAGGAACGACAATAGTCAAGCGGAGACAAGGAAATAACAATAATCGAGGCCGCGATCTGTGCGGCCCTCCAAAAGAAAGAGTCGTGCACTTGAAGACTATTCAAAGTAACCGCTTCTTCTTCGCCAGAAGTCGTCATTTTTTTTTCCCGGAGTCCATCCTGTTTCCTCGTTTGCTCTCCGGCGCTCCAGTGCACCGTCTTCTTTGCAACTCTGAAGTTCCATGACTTTACTGACGCCTCTCCTGGCATTTTTTTTTTGTATCCCACGGAGCAAGGTTTGCAATGGGAGTGTTTGTTTTGTTTTGTTTTCCTCCTTTGTAAAGGCTTCCGCACCTTTGTTCGTGGTTACCCATTTCCGTGTGAGACAACGAGATATGTATAAATAAATGCTAATAAACAAATAAAATACAAAAAAGAAGCGACGGTCACTGTCGAAAGCAGTCGTGACAACAAACAACAAAAAAGAGCAGAAGACAAGATTATCATCCGAAGAAAAGAACAGAGAAGAGAGAAAAATATACACTTAGAAAGTAAAACGCTTAAATCCGCTCCTTTGCAGATCGCGGAGCCCAAAGAGGTGCGCGCACTCCTGCAGCTTCAATGAATCATTAGATGGAAAAGGAGAACACCGATGTGAACGCAGGCGTAGGAGTCCTGGGGGAGTCCAGGTTTGACGCACTAGTTCGACCACCCACAATAAAGACCTTCTTATTTTCTTTTTGTCTCTTCCACTTTCGTAGAGAAAACGACAGGTTGGATGGCGATAGCTTCACACCACACAGCGACCTACGCACCCGAAACGTCTCAAAACAACTGCTTTCCCGATCTCATTCTTCATCTCTCTCTCTCTCTCTCTCTCTATACGAGCTTTCCACCAGTCCATCTGTTCAAAAGAGAAGAATTTGCCGAGCAGCAGCAAACCACTGACCGCGTAACAGAAACCACCACAACAATCGATAATGATACTTCTCGCAAGCGCGGCGGCATAAAAAAAACCTCTCGCAGTTTCGCAGGCGGAACTCTGACGAGCACAGGTGTGTGCGGGTGTACGCCTTTCTCTCTTTCTCTCTCTCTCTGTGTGAGTGCATGTGCTTTAGCGTTCCAGCAAGTAAGTAATTTCGTTTAGTGTTACCTGCCGGATGCGCGTGTATGAGTAAGTGCATCGTTGCGACAACGCCATTCGCCAAGTTTCAGCTGTGCGTGTGTGTGGTTTTCTCTGTTGTATAGCATCCAAGGAAGGAAAGTGGAAACTATGAGAATACGTCACACACAGCTTTAAAGCAAAACCTCTTCACACACACGCTCAAAAAAGCGAAGGCAATGCTTTTCATTCAACCACAGCAACCACGTCAACGCATGGACCTACTGCACCACCACACACACGATAAGAAGAAAAAAAATAATGAATTCAACAACGACAAAATTTCACTTCATTTTCCATAGGCAACTCAGGTTGCACAAGCAGTTTTCCTTTGCCCTTTTCTTTTTGGCAGTGAATCACTTGGAGTGATACATCGCCGTATCATGCGCTATCAACTTGCCTTTGGCCGCTTTCTCTCAACTTAAAAAAAAAAACGTTTATATCTTCGGCTAAACAGAAACTATATGTCATAAAACAGAAAGAAAAATCAAGAAAGAACAAGTGAATAAAGAAGAGAAAAGAAAAGAAAGATAAGAAATGGGAGTCGACCGCGCGAAACTGCGGTGTGTGTGTAGAACATGACAGCCTGCCAGAAACTGCGCTGTCGACTCACAACTTGGAGACTTGAAGAAAATTGCATTAATAAATAGAAAAGAGACGCGAAAGTATTCTTTACTTTTTAAAGATATTTTTGAAAAAGCGAGAGGATATTTCCTTGCAGAGCAGCCGACAACTCCACTGGTAGTCTCGACAGAAAGTAATCGAGGTGTACCATTTCCAACTTACCGTAACGAAGTTTATTACTATTACCGCTGTCTTGGTGCATTCAGGCACCCCAATCGCGTGCTAATCGTCGTCATCCTTCTCTCCCGCTGAGCTGCATTTCTTTTTCTTTTGCTTCTTGCTGAACTTGCGAGGGCTTGGTTTCTCGTTATGCATGTGTTCAACATAAATAACAGTTCCAGGAGCAGCAAACAACAAAAAAACAACAACAACGACTTGCAACGCGAGTTCTCTCGCTGCAAACTCTGACCATTATCACAACGAGGTGTCCAAAGAAAGAAAGCCAACAGCCTGAACACGCAGCGGACACCATCAAAGAGTTTCACATCGCGCTTGTCACTTCTCTGTTTTCCGCTATCCGCTCCTTTTCTTTTTATTACGCAGCGTTCATGACGGCCACCATCGTCCCCAGCGTCCCCCCCACCACGCCGAACCCAATCATGAAAAGCGTCAGTGACCAGCTCCACCAATTGGTGAAGTGCGCGATACCGCGACGGTGCAGCCGATAGCGGTACAGCCCGGGGACGGTGAAGCACAACGTGGAGCTGCACAACCCGCCGAGCAGCGCCACCACCGAGACGATGCCCGGCACAATCAGCGCCACAGACACGCAGAGCGTGCTCAAGGTGATGCTGATCAGCAGGTGGTCGCGTGCGGGGATGGTCTCGATGCTGTTGTGGTGCTTCTTCCGTTCCACGATTGCCTGGAGCTTCTCTTCCGTGACGGTGCCGTAGTGGTTCGTGATGATTTCGATGCAGCTGGCGTCCTCTTCGGCGACCGCGATCGACAGCAATTTTTCTTCCTCATCCGCGAGGTGCGCATAATCTCTGCTGCGCGGCACGTGGGTGGCCACGGAGGCAGAGCTGTAGCCGTACCACAGAATAAAGATGGAGTCGCGAATTGGAAATAGCATGATGACAAACGCTAAGATGATCGGGGCCGCGTAGAGGACGTAGCCCACCGTGAAGAGCCGGTCGACCTTCGGGTCGTAGTTGCTGATGATGTTGTCGCGCACGTCGATGGGATTCGAAATGTAGCCGAAGAAGCCAACGGCGGCGTGGATGACACCCGTCACGATCAGGCTGAGCACCGACACCTTCATCATGTTGCTACGGCGCATATCATCCAGGCCGGCGTAGATCTGGAATACGAGGGACTGACAGTCGAAGGAGAACATGATGATGGGCAAGGCCAGCAGAGGGTTGACGCCCCACCACCACGACGCCGTCGCGGTGCCGCTCGCCACGGCCTGCGCCGTCATCGCGGACGGCTCCGTCGGCCCCGGCACGAAGTAGCGGAAGATGATCATGCAGCAGATCAGGCTGGTGGCCGTGATGGCGAGGAAGGAGGAGACGTGCAGCGCGCCGAGGGTGGGCACGCAGGACAGCGGCAGGATCAGCACCGTCCACACCGCCAGCAGGGTGTGCTTCGACGTGGTGAGCAGCGGGAAGTGGCTCGTCACCAGCGGCTGCAACGGATCAATGAGATCGCCAATCACGACGAGGTACCCAATGGCACTACCCACGTTGTAAATGAGCAGCATCCACCGAATAAATTCCTCTGCATGGCGGCCCAGCAGCTCACCGGTGAGCTCCTCGTACGAGTTACGCCCGATCTTCTCAATGGCGAGGACAATACAGTCAATCGAAAAGACCGTGAATACCGCCACTCCGGTCAGCACCAACGTAGCGGGGATGATGCCGGCATCTGCGTAGGCGGACGGGAGGGTGAGAATACCAGCACCCATGGTGGTGACCGCGAGGCTCAGCGCGGCGCCGAGGGTGCTACCGCTACGTAGATAATGGCATCCCATTTTTGCTTGCTTTAAGAGTTTTTTCCAAACCGTGCAACGGTCCCTCGCGTTTTACAGTGAACGAGTACCGAAGCGACTGCGCGTGTCGGATCTTGCGTGAACAAGTAACGTTGAAGTCACCCTCCCCCAAAAAAATATGGAAAGAGGGAAATATATATGAAAACAAAAGCTGCAAGGAGCTGACAACAAAGACGGTATGAACTGTGAAGGACCTCCAGAAACAACAAGCAGCATCAGGATCAACTAAGAGAACTCAATGGCTATTGGCAGTTAGGAAGCAACAGTAACAACAACAACAAAACTGCTGTTGCAGCGAGGAGAGAAGACGGGTAAGTTTTGTCACGGATAATGAAGCTTTATTATTTATAATTGGAAAGACACAAAACGAAACAGAGTCCAAGTAAAGAAAGAGAGGTGAAAGATGCACCACGTACGGAGTAGGGACGGTAAAACTAAAACACGTACACACACACAGAACCATCAAAAAAACATACAGTGCAAAGAACTACTTACTGGCGTTCGGACGGACAGAATTGTGTGAACGTGGTGCAAGACCGTAAAGCGAGCAGAAATAAAAACAGAAGAAAAAAATAAAAGAAAAGAAGAGCCAGAGGAGCCCTCTTTGATTTCTTTCGTTTTTTAAAAAATATTATGTATCCGGAGAGAGTCGTTGAAATGTATGAAAGGTAGAAGGTAAAAACCAGCAATAGCAACAGAGCAAGAAAAGTCTCTATACACGCTTGATTTTCGGTAGAATGCGCTGTGACTCTTTTATTAAGTTGTAGTTGCATCAACTCACGGCTCAAGGCGAAGGAAGCATGAAGATCACCGTTGAAGTACGTGGCGAGGTAAGATGAAAGAAAAAAAAAACATATGCGTTACGGTGAGTAGCAAAAGATCATTATGGAAGAGATGGTCGAGGAAAAGAAAGCGAAAGGAGAATAAGGCAAACTCAAAACCAGCATACATACCTGAACATGACAATAATACCGCTTTCGATGAGTAGGAGATATGCCTCGATAACAGGCCAGCGGGAGTCGCAGAAAACCCCGCACAGCCCGCCATGTTTAGGGAGACGAATGAGCTCTACAGGAAACCCATTGTAGGTAAATCACTCGTGAGACACGAGCATCCGTATATATATATTCTTTGAGGATAGGCGTTAATGAGAAAGAGGAAAATACGAAGCAAAGCGGAATCAACACCCAACGCAACCGTAAACAAGGAGGTGGGGGACAATACACCAAAACACAAACAAAGCACACAAGACCTGAAAAGCGGAAACGAGCGATAAATAAATGTGCACGAGTCGGACAGGGACGCAGCTTCATCAACGTAAGCGAACGGACCCCATCCGCCCCCCGGCTCACTCCCACACCTCCACGCAGCGGTCATCGCTGATAGACACGAGTGGTCCACCTTCGTTAGCCCCCCACGCCGTGCTGAAGATAGGGCCCTTGCTGGTCCCTGTACCAGCCTCATTGGCTCCCGTGCTGGGCACAGAAGCCTTCAGCAGCTTCACTTGCGGCGACGCCTCCAGCGCACTGTCGAGCCGCACGAGCAACAAATCGGAGGTCCGCCCTTGTCCCACCGCACACACCTGCCCGCTCGGGGAGAGGGAAAGCCGTGCCCAGTTCATCGGCACAGTGAGCTGCTCCGGCGCAAAGGTATGCAGAGTCTTGGAGAACAGCCGCGCATCCCGCACGGAGATGGCGTTGTCCTTGCCCAGCGAGACGCAGAGCTGCCCACTCGCACTGACCCGCACACAGGTCGCGACGCGTTGGTGCGCTGTCACCTCGCCACTACGCGCAGCCGTGCGTCGGTCCCACACCGTAATCTTGCCGTTGTAGTGGGCGGAGAAGATGGTGTCGCCGGCCACCGTGACGTCGTTGCACGTGCTCTGGCACAGCAGCGTGCGCAGCGCCTCGCGACGGCGGATGTCCCACAGCTTAATCGTGCCGTCGGAGCTGGCGGTGAAGGCGTGCTGGGCGCTGGAGGAGAGACAGGCCGCCACCACCTTCTCTGTGTGCCCTGTCATCTCCAGCATGCGCAAGCTGTTCGTGTCCCAGAAGCGCACGATGTGGTCGGCGCAGCCGGCCAGCAGGTAGTGGGAGGAGGTGTCTAGGGAGAGGGCAATGCTGCTCGATGAAAAGTACTTCTCCGCCTGCGCGCTCTGGCGGTTCCACAGACGGATGTACTTGTCGGTGCCGGAAGTTAAAAAGCGGTTGCCGTCGTCCAGGACACACAAGCCATGCAGCAGACTTCCATTGTGGGCCTCGACGATCACCATGGACGCACGTGTGGGCTCGCTGGTGCGTTGCATGGGCGAGTTGAGGACCTGCGCGTCGACGTACGAGTCGGTGGCGCGTTGCGCCGTGTCGCGCGTCAGCTCCGCCTCGTCGGCAACGCCGGTGGCGCGTGCGTCTTCGCTCATCTCCGTCTTCTCCCCGGCGAGGGCGTCCTGCAGGCGACGGCGCAGGTCGCTGACCTCCGCCTCGAGCACCGTGATGCGCTCCTGCATCTGCGTGACTTTTCCCTTGGCCTGCTTTGCCTCCCGCACGCTGCGATCCGCCTCCCCGACGCTCAGGCGAATGCATTCGTACTCGTCACGCAGCGAGGTGTACTCCTTATGAAGCAGCTGCAGCTCCGCCGTGCGTTGCTCAAGCTCTGCGGCCGTTGCCGTGCTGCTCCTCTGCAGCTCCTCTTTTTCGCTCTTCAACTCCTTCATCTCGGTCAGGCCCTTGTAGTACTCGCTCTCCCGTAGCATGTAGAGCTGCAGCTGATCTTGCAGCTCGTCCTTCTTCGCCTCTAACGCGCGCTCGCGGGAGGTCTGCACCGACGTGTTAGCTGCGGCCCGCTCTAGCTCGCGGACGCGATCGGCTAGCTGATTGCGCTCCACCTGCAAACGCTGGCGCTCCTCCTCGACGGCCTGCATCTGTAGAGCGGAGGTGCGGAGGAGGGTGTAGCTCTCGAAGATGCGCTGCGACGGTTTCAGCTCCACCGCATTTCGGATGATGAGCTGCTGATTGATGTCGCGCAACCATGCCGGGGCGCCGGCGGATGGCGACGCAGGTCGATACATTTCCATTGCGTCAGGCGAAGGAAGAGCTAAAGAGGACAAAACGGCTCTTCTCCCTCGAGAAAAACTCGGAGAGAATGTAGAAAGAGGGCGGGCAACAGTAGTGCGTATCTTCCGCTACCGCACCCTCCTTTCCAGTGAGTGAGGATCACACGAGCGGCAGCTGTTGCCTTGTTGAGTGCCACAAAACAGATATACTTACCAAAAGTCAAGAAAACCAAACTAATAGACTAGAAGGAAGAACAAGAAAAAGATAGAGAAGAGTACAACACTGATCGATCTAGACAGGTCAGATATTTACAAAATTTGTTTTCCTTAATGTATCGATATGTATCTATATAGCAACAACAACAACGTGACAACTAATGGGCAAGACCCAGGCGTCGAATGACGAGAGGCGGCGGTCGTGGAGCACAGCAAACTGTGCCGCTGTGTTGACTTTCCTCGCACAGCAACAATCCTATGCATTGACTTGCAATGGCTGCGGCATACACACGCACACGCACGCACGAAATATATATTTTTTTGAATTAACGAATTGAAATAGAGACCTTGTTTTAAAAAAGCAAAACACCAACCACCACCACCATGGACAACATGCTAGCAAACTTTTGACCTACTTACCCCTCTTCGAACGCTCACGAGGAGCCTGCTTCGCGGCATTCCTACCTCGCAACGAAGAACGGGACCGAGTGACGCCTTGACGCTCGCCCCTCTTCATGCTTTGCGCCTGTCCGCTGGACGCAGTTGCAGAAAAGCTGTCAGGAGATGCCCTCTGCGCCGTATTGCGCTGCCCCTCCGCACGAACGGACGGCGTCGGAGCTGTGTCGAGCGGTGGCGGTGGTGATGGCAGAACTGCTGATTTGCCTTCAGAATTCGTCTGCTGGAAAACCCCACTGGTATTATTATTATTATTATTACTACGCCCTCCACCGTCTCCACCACCACCACCATCACCCTGTCGTCCAAAAGCACCGTGCTGATTGACCTGTCTGCCGTTTCCGCGTCTTCGCTGACGCAGACTGCCAATGCTGGAGCGTCGTGGTGCCGGCCCTTCCGTCAGTCCCTGATGGACTTGTGCGGCGGCGAGGTTCTGTCGCCGTTCCTGACTCGATCGACGTCCGCCACGCCTGCGACGTGCGAGAAAGTGCCGCCGCGGACGACTGCCCTCGCCCAACACCGGTGTCGTGTCTTTCGTGGTGTAGACGAGAGGCGAGGCCGGATTGTTGGGAGCCATGTTGCCGCCGCTACTGAAGGCGGGTGAGCCGGGTGCTTGCATCTGCGGCTGCTGTGCCGGCGTCAACATCACCCCGTTGCTTATGTTGTTGTGTTTGCTGCTGCCGCCGCCGCCGCCGCTGCTGGGCATCACAAAGCGCGCGCCTTGTAGAACAGACCCTGCGTACGCGGACGCAGACGCAGGAGTGGCACCCGTGCGCGGTGAGTTCAACGTCATCCTGTCCATCTCCAGCGTCAGCTCACCGGGCTTCCATGCCAAGCCCATCTGCGGCGGAAGGTAGTTTGCGTGCTGCGGATCGCTGCGACTGTTGCTGTCCGTGTTACCTCCCAGCACCGAGTCTGACTGTGGCCTCGGCCCGCGTGGAGAGCGCGCCGTTGCGATGTCGTTCCTCGACAGATTAGTCCCTTCCACCGCTGCATTAGGTACCACGCTGCCACCACCGCCACCACTCGTATAGTCCTGGTAATTGTTTAGTTTCGCGTTCGGATTCACATTCCACGACTTGTGCCGCGGGGCGTTGAAGGGCTGCTGTTGTTGCGTGTTTTGCGAGGATTGATTTTGACTCGCCGTGGCGCCTCCCATACGTGCTTTCCGTTTACCACCGTGTGAGTTGCCGTGCTGCTGTTGCTGCTGCCGATATCGTCCAGACCCACTCGGGGTCGGCTGACTAGCAAATCGAAGCGGCACGTGCATCTCCATGGTTTGCGTGCTCAGCTGTGGGTTTTGGAAGCTGTACCCGCGCGAACTTCCCAGCACCGAGCCTTGCTGCGACTGATGCGTGGCGGTGTTGTAGGTTGGCAGCCAGCCTTCCGTGCGTGGGCGACCGCGTAGCTGCCGCGATGGCTGCAGCGGAGCCAGCGAAGAACTGCGTCGTTCCTGCTCCTTTTTGCGTAGAAATATCTGATGTGCGGCTATCATGGAGCGCGGAAAGTTGTCACTCGGCTGCGAAGAGGGTGCGGTATAATGCTGCTGCTGCTGCTGACTTATGCCGGGAGAGGCGTGCGTTTGCGAGCGTGGAAGAGGAACTTTGAACTGAGGGGCGGTGCTAGAGAACAGTTGCGACATCGGCTGAGCAGGCAGATTGCCGCCACTGTAGGACGCGTGAGGCAGCTGCGGCGAGGGAGAGGCGGTGGAGCTGAACGGCAGCGGTGGCGGCACCTGCGTAGACTCCGCCGTGCCGCTTGGCAGTGCGTTGTCGCGCCGTCCAATTTTTCCCCAGAAGCCGGTGCGTCGGCCAGTGGCCTCAGTGGGGTGCGGGGGTTCGTCGATGAGGGGCTGAGAATCGGGATTGCCCTCCCCGAGAACAGACGGCCTCTCTGCGTTGTTGCTCTGGGGCACCTCCTGTTGCGGGTGCAACGGCGTGAGGGGAGCAGCAGTTGGAGGGGGCGGTGCGGGTGCGCCAGAGACCAGGGAGAGCGGTTTGACCTTCTCCCACGAATCACCCAGAAAAAACGACGTTGGCGTGTTGCTTTTGCCGGTGCTGCTCTTAACTCTGCCACCGGGAGGCGGAGATGCAGACGGCTTCACGAGAATAGACGGGGTCGGCTGCGGCGGCGCGGACAGGGACGGCGGCGGTGATGTCGTGGTGGAGGAGGATCGACTCTTACGTCCCTCCCGTTGCTTACTCTGGTCGGCGAGGGCGTGGGAGGAGTGCGGGTCGTCCGTGTCATCCTTCCTCTTCACATCCCAACCGCCTACGTCAACATCTACGAGCTCCTCAACACGTTGCCGTTGCTGAAGCGGCAGGTGCTGTGAGGGCGAGACGGAGGTCTGTGCCGGCCACGATGGGGTGCCGTGGGGAGGGGTAATGGCCTTCCGTGCAGCTGTGCCGCTGCTGCTGCTCCCAGAAACGAGAACGGCTGTTTCGAAAGGGCTGCCGGTGCTGCTGCGCGTGCTATTGCGCGACCGCCTCCGTTCGTCGTCATTCTGTCTGCCACCATTGCTGCTGTCATCGCTTCCACCCGTCTTCTCGTCGCTGTACTCTTCAAAGCCCCCTCGCAACGACTGTGGCACGGACTTGGCGGCGAGCGCGCGGTGCTTGGCCGCCACCGCCGCATGCCACTTCTCGAGCGCTGCGATTGAGTTTTCACCCCGAATAAACGGGTGCTGCAGCAGTTCGGCGGCCGACGGGCGGTCCGCCGCGTCCATGTTCAGCGTGCACTGCAGCAGGTCAATGAGCATGGGCGACGGCGTCACACTCCAACCACCGCCGTGCTGCTGCTCATTTGATTCCTCGTCGCCATCGCTATTATGATGGTATTCCTCCATCTCAAAACCCTCTGCCGCGTCTCTGCTGCGGTGCATGGCAGCGTGGTTCAGTCGCTCCCGCTCCGCGTACACGTCGTCCAAAGGAGGGCCCTCGCTGGCAGACTGACGCTGCCCAATGTACCAAATCACGGCGGAGGCGTTCGACTGGTGTACGGGCCGCCACGGCAGTAGGCCTCCGGTGGCCATCTCATACACCACACACCCCAGCGCCCAGACGTCGGAGGCGAAGGACGGTTCTTGGGTGCGAATCAACTCCGGACTCATGTAGAGCGGCGTGCCGCACAGCACACGTTGTCGCGACGCATCGCCCTCGTTGTCGTCGTCCTCCTCCTCGTCCGCCTCCGCCGCGTCGCCGCTGTAGACGTCACTGTGCTCCCTCGAGAAGACGTTGTCGTCCTTCTCCCTCTTGCTTTCCTCATCTCGGCTGCCACTGCGGGTGCGGTGGCGCTTCATTCGCTCTTTCTCCTCCTCTCCCACCTCTTCGTTGCCGTGTTCCTGCAACGCGCTGTGCTGTGGTGCATTGGCGTCTGTCCCATCTCCTTGTGCGCCGTGGTGGTGAGCGCTGCTGCCTGTTTGGTGTGTCGGGGAACAACGACGTGTATGCTGCTGAGACGCACCGGTGCGATGAGTGGATTTCTCGGTTGGAAGCTCGTCTGTGGTGCACTCATGCACGAAGCGGCTGGTGCCAAAGTCCGTCAGCTTCACGCTACCCTGCTCCGACACTAAAATGTTGGCGCTCTTCAGGTCGCCATGCACGACACCTTTCCGTGTGAGATACTCCATGCCCTCGAGAATCTGCAGCGTGTAGAGGCGGATGACGTTTTCTTCGAAGGCGCCGAAGTTGCGAATGAGGGTCTGCAGCGTGCCCCCCGCCACGTACTCCATCAGCAGACACAGCCGCCCGTCCACGCTAAACTGGAAGCCGAGAAACCGCACAATGCGCTGATGCTGCAGGGTGGTGAGAAAGACGATTTCACGGAAGTGCTTACGAATGATGGGCGGGGCGGACGGCCGAGTCGCCTGCGGTCCCTCTCGCTGTCGTTGACGTTGAGGCTGCTGCTTTTGCGGCGCCAGCACACTTTTGCCGCTGCCCGTCGACGTGACCAACGCTGTGGAGGGACGTCGTCCGCACTCTGGCGGGGTGTTGTTGACCGAGGAAGATGCCGGGGAGGGGGGTGTCGCGGCGGCGGCAAATGGCGCCGACTCCTCATTCGCGTAGGCCTCTGCTTCTTCCTCTCGCTGCCCATCGACCTTTGCCTCTCGCGTTGCCCGACTTGCTGACGCTGCTGTCCTCTTCTCGGTTTCTGTTTTCTCCGGCGGTGCTTCCTCGTCGTCTTCACCTTTGCCGTCTTTGACTTCGAACGGTGACCCTTTACTTGTCGTACAGGATGAGGGGTCGGGGAGGGTAGTCGCCGGCGCCGTCGAGGCGGACACGGAGCCCCCCGACGACGATCGGGAGGTCGGCGGGGTGTTGCCGAGGCTCACGTTCGACAGCGACAACAGCGTATCCTCGTCAGGGCGTATGGCGGGGCTCTGCTCAGCCGATGGTCCAGCGCCACCACCACCACCGCCGTGGACCTCGGTTGCGGTTGACATGACCTTCGTCGCCTCGGCCGGTGGAAACAGGGAACCGCCTTTTAACACCTTGATAGCGACGGCTGTGGCGGTGGACACGTCGATGCCCATGTAAACTTCGCCGCTCGCACCGCAGCCAATGCGACCGCCCCACTGCAGGTGTCGCAGCGGCAGCACCGCGTACCGAATGGGTATGTCCGCCGGCCCATCCTTCAACAGCCCACCAAAGGCACCACCCACATCCGCACGATTGGTGTTCCTATTGTTACCGTCGTTGCTGCTAGCGAGAGCGCGGTTATCGTGCGCGCGACGTGCATCAGCGCGCTGCTGCGCAGCCGCTTCGCGCTGTAGAGCCGGACTGATGCTGAGGCTCTCGTGGAAGCGTGTCGCGGCGGTAGAGGAGGTCGGTGCATGTACCTGCTGCTGATGATGCACGGCGGAGCCGGCTGACGACGTCGTCGAGCTTTCTCGCTCGGACAGCGTGATGGGGGCGATGAAGCTGGTGCGAATCGACGGTCTAGAGCGCAAGAGGGAGAACGGGGTGACCAACGTAGAGACTGCTTGTTCCTGTCGTGCCGTCAGATTGCGTGGCGGCCCTGCGGGGGTTGTCAGGGCGCCACTGCTGTTTGACGACGGCAGCAGCGGAGGCAACGCAACATCCGCAACGGTGGTTGATGTGCCTTTTGACTGCGCCGAGCTCGCGAGATTCCCGCTGTCGGCCTCTGTCTGCGCGACGTCCATCACCGTTTCTGGAATATTAACGAAGCGAACAGCCCTTTGATGCGGCACCGTTGCGACACCTGCCACGGAGGTTGTCACTTCCTTTTCTTCGCGCAGAGACGTGACGGAGAGCGGCTTTGGAAACACGGCAGTGTCGCGCTGCGCCGACTCTCGCGGCTCTTTCTGGCGGTTCCACGTTTCCTGTTCCGTTCCTTCCTCCCCACGTTCCATGCCGACGACATCAAAATTCTGCTGAGTTGACGGTGCCGTGTAGTTGCGTGGGTCGAGCAGCACATTTCCCGTCGCCGCCGTCCCATGCTGCTGCTGTTGCTGCTGCGGCTCCTCCGTGTTGTACATATGAAAGCAGAACCGTTCCAGGTAGGTGTACTTCGTGGAGAGAGTGGAAAGAAGCGCCGTGAACATCTGCGTCTTTTCTAGGTCCTCTTTTGTCTGCGCAGAGGCGCTTTCTTCGTCGTCGTCATCATCGCCGCCGTCGTGTGCTCGTCGACGGCGTCGCTTTGCCACGGTGGCCGCCACCGAGGTGGCGTTGGGCGCTGTCGGGTGTTGGCGGTTGAGCTCGCGAAGAGCACGCCGACGTTGTCGAATCCAACTTTCCTTGTTCGCAAATTCATCACTTTTTTCATTTGGTCCCACCAGCGTCGTTCTTGGCTCCTCGTCTACCCCCTCCGCGGACTCTCTGCTGCTACTTCGAGCAGTGACATAGGACTGCACGGGAGGGGAAGGAGAAGCCCCGCCTTGACACGTCGCCTCCGGCACCCGCACAATGTTGATGTCGTCGCCGCTGTGCAGCATTCGGTAGTGGCCCCGACCCACCAGCTCGTCGTTAATGTAGGTCCCATTCGCACTGCAGTCGGTGAGAAGGACGCGGTGCACCCGCCAACCCGGCAGCCCCACATCATGTGGCGAGAGTGGCACTGCCGTGGACGTGGACAGCGGTCCGCGCTCCTGGGAACTCTCTTCACTACCTTCCACAACGTGACTTGCATCGGTGGTGCTTGCTGTCGCAGTGTCTGCGTCTTGTAACAGCTTTTGCGTCGGGCGGGACTGCAATGAGCCGCCTTTGGTGCTTTCCGCCTCTTCAGCGTGTTCTGTGGGACCACCGCCATTACTACCGCTGATGCCGTCGTGTGGCTCATAGGGCTCCAGCTCCAGCGAAATCGTGAAGTGCGTGGTGCTCACCAACGCGTTCCTCAGCGTGGCGTCGCAGCCTTCCTCGCGCCCCACGCGGACGGTGCGGTGCTTGTAGATGCAGTTCAGTGTGGTGTGCTCCGACACGAGCACGCCCCACGGGTCCGTCGGCTCCCGAGCTCCGACGAGACGGCCGGCGGCGTTGTAGAGTAGAAATCGCGAGCGGATGTCGCCGTCGTCGTCGGACGACAAGGGAGAATCGGAAGACGTGCCGCGACGCACAAGCTGCGTCGGTGCGGTGGACGCCACACGCGAGTTGTTGTCTGCCGAGGACGGCAGAGGGGAGAGGGGCGGTGGGGGGAGCGGGTTGGGTGACGGGGGCACCTCATGGAGAAAAAGACCTACCGCTTCCGTTGTTTGGGCAGCAGGTGAGAGGGATGCGCCGCTTGGCGGTCGTGGGCTACTGACCACCGGACCCGATTTGGAGAGCTGAGACATTTTCCTCTCCCAAAGGGAAAGAAGAAGAAGGCGAAAAATAAAAACCACTCAAACACACACACACACACACACACCTGAAAAAAGGAAGAAAGTAGGTAGAAGATACGCTCTTTGAGACAGTGAAAGCCGTAAAGGTATCGAAGACACGCTGCGCCAGGTAAAGCCTCAGACAAAGCAGAATTAAAAAAAAACCCACCCTGATCTTTTTAAACGACAAAACGAGCGGGGCAGCCAAAACGGTAGTAGTAAGATGCACGGACAAGATACGAAGAAAGGGAGAGAAAAAAAAAGTTTTCTCCCAAGGTGAGTAGAAGCGAAGAAGAAATAGAAAAGAAACAGAGCATATATATATGTATGACTCTTTTAAAGGTATTGGCTTAGACTAGTGGGGATGCAAATGCAGAATATCAGCAAAACTTTACACGTTTTTGTCTGTTTTTTTTTTTGAAGAGTACAGCACACGGGTATTCTCTGCTGGTTGGGTGAAGCGAATGGGAGCGCCTTGTGGCTTTTCCTCTTTCTTCTGCACGTCTCCTGAGTGAGCTACACACACACACACACACACACACACAAGAGCACACCCGCTCACTGAGGAAGAAAAACGCGCACAGTACGTACCTGCGCTCGCCCCGCGTGTTCTGAGTCCACAATAGCACACGAAAACAAAAGAAAACAAGGGAGGGATGAAGAGAGAGAGAGAGAGAAGGAGAGAAAGAATTGGTAGAGGCGAAGAGATCTAAAAGAAAATGGATGCACGCGTTGATGGGTTCCCTGCGTCGTTGCAAGTTGGCATTTATCATAAGCACAACACGTACGTTGGCTTATCCGATGTACGAAGAACAATGAAAAATAGTTAGCACAAGGGAAACGCATTGCACGCTAAGAAGCACCACCGCAAACAAACACAAAGGATTTTTTATTTGGAATTTCACGCATTTTGGATGCGCGAAGGAAACGCAAAACGATGTACAACTCGCCAGCTCGCATCTGGCAGTTGAAGGTTGTGTTCAATGATCTCTCACTTTGTTGTGGTTGTGGTAGGGGTAGAACGAAACGGCGTAACGCGACAGACGCCGCGCAAAAAGCGAAGGGGTAAACAAATGAGACATAACATAAAAAGAGATGTAAAGACCGCCGTGAACTCGGAAAAAAACACACAACAACCCTCGGGCGGCACCCAGGGAATGACAGCAACGCCTGCCCACAGCATCTACGCCCAACGTTATAACAACAACAAAACACACACACACACACACACACACACACAAGAGAAGGTGTTAGTGAGAGCGGAATGCCACGTAGGCGGGTGCCTGTGCGTAGTGCAGTTCCACATCTCGGGCCAGCGGGGCTTCCACCTCCAGCACACCCATCCCGCGCCGCTCCCACTCCGCCACACGAAATTCTTCATCGGCGTCGTACTTCTTTCGCAGCTCGGGATCGTTGTGCAGATCCATAATCAGCTGCTGCCGCGCAAGTGCCTTGCGCTGCAGGGCCACGTACGCCTCCCACGCCTCTCCCTCGACCCCCGTGATCGGGGCGGCCTCACGCAGCGTCCCATGCTGCTCCTCCACCTGCGCCTCGAGCTTCGTGGCGAGGTCCTCGATTTGATGCGCATCCACAAACGGAAACTCCGCCGCCTCTTGCGCGCCAAACTCCAACGTATCGGTTGGCCGCCGCACCGGCGGGTATTCTGCCTGCTGACTGCGCAGCTGAGGCACGTCCAGGCCAAAACCCGGCTCGTAGCCCAGCAAGGGAGGAGTTAATGAGGGGCGGCGGTAGCTACCGGGGGGCTGCTCTGAGTTTAAGAGTACCGCCTCTTCCACACAGTTGTCCAGCCCGAGCTTCTGCATCTCTTCCAATGCGGTGGACATGCGGGAAACCAACGCGGCCATCCGTGCGTCGAACTTCGCCTCCGCCACAGCCGAGTAGCGGTCGTACGCGCTGGCGATGCTGCGCTCCTGGTCGACGTCCTGCTGCCGCTTGCGGGCGTCGTTGACGTGGTTCTTCTCGTGGATGTACTCCATCGCGGCGTGCGCCCACTTCTCCTCGCTGCCCACCTTACCCGCACTGGCCATGTAGCCGGCAGCGGTTTGCTTCTTCTGACACAGCAGAGCGGTGGCGCAGACGGCGGCGCAGCGGGGGCGGGAGAGAACCCACATGATCGCCTCTACACCAATCAGATACTGCTTCTTCTGCTAGAGGCTTTCCTCTATTTTTTTCAAATATTATAATACGGGTACGTCGTGAGCGATCCCGGTGCGGTTTTGTGTAGAAGAGTTGTGAAGAGAGAAGAGACGAAAAGAGCGTTAAGAGCTGATTGGCGACAGCGAAGACGTAAAGCGAAAGCGAAACCATACAATGTTTTTCCCTTCCCTATTGCCGTACAAACTCGCACACAAACAGGCGTCAATCCTACAGTGTAGCTGTAGAAGACGAACGACTGAGTGCGTGTGATTCAATAGCGCGGAATGACTTTTGTGCCACACACACACACACACCAACACAAGCATTCTCTCCAATAAGGGAAAAAAAAACATAGTTGGAGTCGACGGTGCGGAAGTGACTTCATGGCGATACTCCGCATCGCTTTCTGCTCCTTCAGAGACGAAGACGCGGAGAAAGATTTTGCGGTAAGCAGACGCCTTGCGCAGCACCACAGTGACTGCCTGACGCCTTTTGTTCTGTAGAAAAAAGCTTCAGCTATTGAATAATTGTTTGTTGTTGTTGTTGTTGTTGTTGTTTTACGGATCATCGACGTGAACAAACGAAAGAAGACCACCGGCAAGTCGCAAATACAATGACGAGAGTAAACAGTAACGGAGAACAGATGAACGCGAGAAAGCGAGAGAACAAATGAGAAAAGCCTTTCGCATCATTTTTTTCTCCACAAGAACACACACACACACACACGTAAGAACCCACCTTGTTGGCGTAATGCTAATCGCATGGTAGAGGAGGAAGGGTGGGGAGCACCAGAAGGAGAAGAGAGAACAAAAAATGCCTAATGAAACGAGTTAGCCAGTCTCTTCCTTTCCTGCTTGTAGCAACAGTGAAACACAGAAAGAAAAAAAAAAGGGAGAAGAGGTTGCTCTCGCTGCGGCATGTGCGGTGCGAAGAAAGGTCTTGCGTGTCTGAAGCACTTCAACGCCTCTCTCGATCGGGGTTGTTCCCCGCGCCAGTTTCGTCTTTCCAAGTTTCCCTGCGACCCCCATGTATAAAAAGGGCAGCATAGAAAGAAAAGAATGCTAAAGCAAACAAACAAACAAAATACGTTGTTCTCCTCTTAGGCTCCTAAACAACGAAACAAGCCCGATTAAAAAAAGAAATCAACGTAAAAGAAAACTCATGACAAAGAAATGCGACAGAAATGTCCCACTACTGCCATTGATGAGGGCGGCAGCGGGCCCCCCGAGCGAGGGAACTGCTTTCAACTCCCCAGCTTCATGGCGGCAGAGTCAAACAGGCAAAAGGCACAGCGCACACACACACACACACATGAATATCCACGCCCGCATAGCACCCAACTAAACCAAAGAAAAGGAATTGTGACTCAAGCGCCAAAGAAACGAAGTAAACAAAAGGTTATACAACTGGTTTCCAGCCGACCGAGGAGACAGAACTAATAATAATAGTAACAAGAAAAGGGTAGTTTTTTCATCTTTGAAGAAAGACGGCATGCCATCCAAATAGAGCAACTAAAACTGACAGAGATCAATAAATAGACGTACCCGCACACTCACACAAGAGCGGCGTACCTTTCCGGAACAACAACAAGAACACACACTTTGCGCCTACAGAGAGAAAAAAAAGGGGGAGAGGGACGAGAATTGTTGTCCAGCAGCGCACGAGGTCAGTGAGGATAATGAAGTTGGTTTTCTCAGCAGAACACTAAATACACATACACACACACAAGACAGTTACTGCCCAAAACAAACACAGAAGGAAGGAGGAGCGAATATATATATATATAGAGAGAGAGAGGGAGAGAGGGAGAGAGGAGGAGAAGGAGGAAAACAACGGCAGAAAAAAAAAATACAGCGTACACCAGACGAGAATGCGAAGGCCGAGAACGACGCCGTGGTGCTCCCGATCTTGCCATGCTTCACGAGGAATACGACGCACTATCAAATGGTGGCCGCAGACGCCGTAAAGAGGATGTTAAGAAAAAAGAAAAAATAAGAAATACGCGTTACGGAGCCCAATTGATGGAGATAAGAAGAAAGCGAGCACAACGCAAAACGAGCGCAAAGTCGGAGGCCGTTCCCCAGAAGACTCGTCGACCAGTTGAACAAAGATGGCGTATACATCTGGCTTTTTTTATTATCGTGCTAAGAAAGAAACAGAAACAAATAAACATAGTATCAACGTGCAGAAACGAGAAAAACAAAAAGACTACAGAGAACGCATACTCTCCCCCTTTTCTACATTCTTTCAGCGACTACGCAAAAGGACAGGTCATCGTTCATGAGCCATCAACAACAAAGAAGGATCCATTTTTTAAAAAGGAAAACCGTTGAACAAAGCACCTCCCAAACTTCCCCTTTTCACTATAAATTCGCTCCTCTTATCAAATCTACAAGATGCAAAAACGGAGAGAACGTACTCTCCCGAACAATGCGCTACGCCTCTAGGAAATGCCACGACACTGTGTGTGTGTGTGTGTGTGTGTGTGCTTCGTGCTGCTGCGTGTAGGAAAACACATCCATTGAAAGGTGTCCATCTGAACTGTTTTGCGGCCTTTCAGATTACCATGGCGCTCTCCTGTATATATATATATATGTATAGCCGCGCGCGTGCCTGTGTGGTTTTCTCAGTTTTCTTCATTTCTGATTTCTTTAGACGTGATCGAAGTCTTGATCCTCATCGCTTTCCGGCTCCGCTTTCGCGATCGTCTGCTGCGCGGAGCGGCCCTCGCCTTCAGTCGCCACGCTCGGGGCAGTCGCGGTGTTCGTGGTGAAGGCGCTGTACGTGCTCGTCGCCCGCATTGAAGAGGGGTGCTCGGTGTGGAACTTCACGCTCTCCATGTAGATGGCGCGCTTCACATCCAGCACCGTCTTCTGCTCATGCTCATCGAAGCGGAAGAGCGTGTAGCTGACGTTGTCGTCGGCGTCGTCGTGCAGCTGCTCAAGAAAGGGGTGGCGCATGGCCTGCAGCACGGTGACGCGCTTGTTCGGGTTGAAGACGAGCATGCGGCGCAGCAGGTCGAGCGCTTCCGGCGACGCCTTCGGGTAACGCTGGCGCCAGTCGGGAGGGTTACGGAAGCCTTTCTTCTTCAAGTACTTCTGTGCGGCGCCGGAACCGACGGAGTTGATGTCTTCCTCGGACGGGGTGCCGATGACGTCCACGATCTTGTCCAGCTGATTCACGCGATCCTTGCCCTGAAACAGGGGGCGGGAGCCGAGCAGCTCACCGAGGATGCAGCCGATCCCCCACACGTCAATCTGCACAGAGTAGTCCTTGTCCTCCATCACCAGCTCCGGCGCCCTGTACCAGCGCATCGTCACGTAATCCGTCATGTACTCGCCCTGGTCGTTCTCCTCCTTCGCCAGTCCAAAGTCGCAAATCTTCAAGTCGCAGTTCGTGTTGACGAGGATGTTGGCCGGTGTAATGTCACGGTGGATGACACCGGCGCTGTGTATAATGTGAAGGGCACGCAGCGCCTGGTAAATAAAGAACTGAATGTGCGCCTCTGTCAGTTCCTGCCCGCTGCGCAGCACCTGCTTTAGGTCGGTTTCCATGATGTCCATCACGATGTAGAAGTGCTCGAAGTTCTCCGGGTCTTCGGGGGTGAGGATGTTGCGCAGGCCGATGATGTTGTCGTCGTTGAAGTGGGCCAGCAGTTTTATTTCACGCAGGATTCGCTTCGCCAGGATCACCTCGTCGAAGATTTCCTTGTTTACGCGCTTAATGGCGACGAGGCGGTTGCCGTCTTTGCTGTCCCGGGCACGGATCACGATACCGTACGAGCCGGCACCGATGATGCGCTCCAGTTTGTAGCGGTCATCGAGGTGCGAGATCTCCGTCTGAAGCTCGGCGAGCGACTTGGTAGGCGGCATTTTTTTTTTAGTGGGGGAGGGGGTTATATTTTGTTTCCCTCTCTCTCTCTCTCTCTGTGTTCAATGAGAGAGGAAACACAGAACAGATGCCCGACTTTTCGAATTGGCTTTCTGCGGTTGTTTGTGCGTACGCGTTTGGGCGGTGTCACACCAAAAGCGAAGGCAACAAGGCGGTTATACAGATATAGATGTGGAGATTGCAAATGTCGAAGGTAAAAGGCACCCCCTCGCAGTATATACACGCCTTCTGTCGGTACACTCGCACCCTTCAAAGAAAACAAAAACAATTAAATAAACAACAAAAAACAACCGAATTTAGCGGTATGAAGCCTACACTCGCCACGGGAGGGAGGTAGAGAACGAATTCAGCTAATCGCAATGTATGGCAATTCTTATGACCTATTAGAAAACAGCAATAATAATAATAATAATAAAAGCAACAACAGAAGAGAATGCAAACCCACGAGAGGAGGAAGTAGAAAACGTTCCACGAGTGGGGCGTAAGACGAGCCAGTCCCGTTTCCTTCGCCTTGCTTGCTTTTTGTTATTTTGAAGTTCGATACGATGAAAACGTTCTCTACGAGAGTAAGACACCGACCAGACAGGAAGAAAAGAGAGGAAAGGAAGAGAAGGAACAGAGGAGGGAACACAAATAAAGCGGCCGTTGACTTTATGCGGTCACGATACCGATCACTTTAGGCAAGACAGGCGAGTAAACAACGACAAACACACACACACACACACACACAATACGTGTCACCTACCACTGGAACGCACAACGCCTTACAAAGAGTACTACAACGCTCTGAAGCGTCTACAGTGGATGGGGTTGGTAGGGAGAAGGGAAATGAGCCGTAACCGAACCATGAGTACACATCACATGTGTTGAACCAGAGCAGAAACAGTTTCTTTTCTTTTCTCAGCATTTCAATCACGAAGTCACAATTACGCAGTCCAGCTTGTCACCGACTGACCAGGTATGGATGCTATTACACCAACGGCAAAACACCCCAGCTTCCGTTACTATTAATTCTCTCTTATGCAGAAGTGCTACAAAACAAATCAAAACAAAACAGGTCAGAGTCGCTGCAGCGTTCTAAGAGGAAAGAGAGGAATGACAACTCTTCTAATCGGAATCGCTGTTGCTCGAGGAGTCTAGCGGAACACGTCGCATCATGCTACCGCGTCCTGAAGGTGGAAGGGTCACCGGTACCGTATCTGGACTTTCCTTGTGATGCTGCTGTTTAGGGTTATGCTTCGGTGTGGTCACCGCCGTCGTAGCGAGCTGCTGCTGCTGCTGCGGTGTGGAGGACACGGCCGTCTTCGCTGCCTTCTTTTCGGGCGACCCTCGACGCCTTTTTGACGCGGCCGCCTTCTCCACCACCGGGGCAGCGACGTGGACACTATACAGCTGCGAGAAGGCCGTTGAACCCTCATCATCGCGGTCGTGGTCGCCGCCACTGCTGCCGCTACTACCGCGGCTCGACGTGCTCGAACTGCGCGCACGACGCACTGGCATGGGAGGTGGCGGGGCGGTGGCGGTCTCCGGCTTCGTGTTGGGCGATCCGCGCTTGCTGCTGTTTTTGCTGCTCGCTACCGCCGCCGTGGATTGCGAGGCACGAGAGGAGGGCTGCGACAGCGAGGACGCGTAGGTCTGCACCAACGGCACATCGTTGGAGTCTTCGTCGTCCGTGGCTCTGGGCTCGGCGGCGACAACAGCGGGTGGAGAAGACGTCTTGGAGGGGGCGCGACGGGGCTGATGTGGAGGCTCCGCAGACGCTTGCGATGGTTGCATATGCTGCTGCTGCGGCGCCATCTCTCGTGCATCCGTCTTGTGGCGCTTCTTCTTCTCCTGCTGTCCCAACCCCGCAGCGGGAGAGGCGACGACGGCGTGCGGCACGCTCTCAACCGACTTGGCCACAACTGCCTTTTGAGGTTCGGCGGAGGAGGGGGCGGCAGCGGCGGCAGCACGAGCCGCCTTGCGTTCCTGCCTCGACAGATGGTCTTTCGGATGGTGTTCTGGCAAAGGCGGATTGTGGCGCGGCTTCGCATCCGCAACTGCGCCGCGCACCGGACTTGGCTGTTGCTGATGCTGTTGCTGATGCTGATGGGGTTTCCCCGATTGCTGGTTCCTGTTCTTTGCGTTCCCCTCTCCGCTATTCCCAGCCGCCGTCGCAACTTCGTCGTCCGTCACAGACGCAACCGTCGGCTGCGCCTCCCGCAAAATCACGACGGCGTAGTGCTGACCCGGCGTGACGCCAATGTTCCCCTCTGCGTCCATCGGAAGGAGGATGTGACCCGACTGCACATCACGGAGTCCCATGACCAGCCCGAGGGAGCGACCACTGGCGCCGCCGAACGCGTAGGAAGGGTTGAAGGCATTGCGAATGTCCGAAGGCAGCCGAACGGCCAACTGATCGACGTAAATGATGGACATGCGTTGCTTATGTTGTGGAGAGCATCCTACAAGACAGGAGAAGACGTGGATGCGTGGAAAGAAAACAGAAAAGGTCGGGGTTGAAGGAAGTGACACCGAGCCGAATATGAAAGAGAAAGAAAGCGAAGGCACAAAAACAAAACTCACACTTAGAACACGATGGAAAGCACTACAGCTCATTTTCATTTGTGCCCAAAACTAGTCTGGGCAGAGCAGAGAATACCAATCCAAACAAAGACCACTGCAAGTGAAGCGTTCCGCCTCATTAATAATAATGAAGTGCTCCACAACGGTCGCCACACACAGAGACACAAAGATAGATTTACGAATACACATCTGCCAGAATCTTCTGCATCATTTGTACAGCAGCAACAACAGCAAAAGGGAGAAAAACACATTCGGAGATGGGGGTCACCTGGCGAGAACAGTTTTAATTCTTACCTCCCTCACCTTCCTTGTCGTCGCGTCGCTCCACCCAACCTGCACAGACACGTGACCCTCCCAGCACCACCGTTACATGCATTTCGACGGCAGCTTCTGCCTCCTCCCTCGAAGGACCAAAAGAAAGTGACGAAACTATTGCCCGAGGTGACCTCGCTGCACGTCGTTGCGTCTCTGACGTCGAAGAAGGCGGTTGTGTTTCGGCGTGTGAACCGCTTGTGGAGCGGAACGAAGACGGCGTAGAGGACGGAAGAGACACAAGCCCGGGGTGCGCTGGCTCCACTAGACAGCGCGTGTCCACCGCCATCCACCACACCGGGTTTCCAGCTGGCCGCGGCAACACCGCTGCTGCTGATGCTGCTAGAGACGTCGATGATATCCTCCCCTTGTTTTTTTGTTCCTGCGTTGGTATGACCGGAAAGCTGCGGAGTCGATCCTGCAGCTGCTGTTGCGTGTGCAAACCGAAGCCCCCACCTTGGTAGCCGTTTGTGGCCACCACGGTGGAGTACACGGAAAACGAACAGTTGACCAACGGATTCCTCCGCCTACTGTCGTCTTCAGCAGGAACAGCAGGTGCCTCGAGACACTGCGGAGTCAAGAAACATCGCAAGAGGCGATGCAGCTCCATCGAAAACCACTGCCCAGTGTGCGTTCCACTGTGCGTGCCAAAGCTCGGATGCAGCCAAAGCTGGTCTAAACCGTCTACTAGCAAAAGACGTTGCTTCTGCAGGTCCCATAAGCGTTTCGGCACTCTGGAGGAAGAAGGAGAGGGGATCAAAAGGGGTGGTAGGGGTGTGCATTCACACTTGTCAGCACTGCTGCTTCGACTGCGTTTACGCTGTACTTTTCCCGTTGTTGTGTTTGGCGCGCCGTCTGCTGCATCTGTAGTGGGAGGCTTCTGCTGCTGTGACTGCTGCGCTGTGAAAGACGACGAGCTGGTGCAACATCCATCAGAAGGCGGATAAGACACCTTTTGACCCGAATTTTCTGTGGTGAGCAGGGCGTTGAGAAGGGCGAGAAGCTCGTTTGGCGTGGACACAACACACACGTGACAATGTCCGGCTACGTAGTCCCGCTGCAATTGCTGTTGCGAGGGTACCGGCACCGCACTCGCACCATGCTCTCCATTTGTTTCGCCTTTCGCACAGCCACAAACAGGAGAAGGTGTAGGAAGGGCGTTGATGATCTGCTCTTGCCAAGACAACACCTCAGCCGAAAAAAAGGTTGCCGATGATGGGTTATCTGGTGCCAATGTGGTGCCGCGCACCAAGCAGACGTATAAGTCCCAATCACAAACCGCCACGGTTGGGGCATAGGGAACACCAGCAGCAGCAGCATTGTTTGACGTGGACTTCAATAGGACCTTCGGTGAAGGGCCCGCATTGCTGTGTCGCGTCTCCTCTCCCGTTTGCGGCTCTTTACCCTGTTCATCGCGATCCGCAGTCGACATCGTCCACCATGTTTCATCCCGCACCATCTCATCTAAGCACCACTGACGAAAGGCGGTCATGCGGCGCGTGTAGGTTGTCGCGATGCGGCGCAGGAGGAAGGATTTGCCGGAGAGCGGGGGGCCGTACAACTCGTGCAGTCCCCCCACCGGCAGTCCACCAGCACGACACCCACTTGCTCCGGCGTTTATGTGATGTGAATGGCCACCGTCACCGCCACTACTCCCCTCGCTGCCTACCCCTGCAGCATTCAACAACGCGTCCAGCTCTGCGATGCCGGTAGAGAGGTGCTGCCACGGCGCGAAGGCGGCGTAGACGTTTTGGAAGGCGGTGGCGCTGCGACGGAGGCGTGCGACCCGTGCGTGCGCATCGCCAGTTCGCATGGCCTCACACGCAGCTGGTGTATTCAGCATGAACTCCGTCTACATTTATTACTATTCTTTAAAGAGAGTGCGAAAGAGTTGGTTTCGTTTGAGGAGGAGAAAACAACACCGATAAAAACACCGAGAAGTGGCGTGAGAGTCGAAGACGCAGAATGGAGTTGGGTGGTGGTGCGCGCGCGCGCGGCCACCGTACATAAATAAAACGCTTCCAGACATTACACCAGGCATGCCCTTTGATGAACACATCCGTTTGGGGAGACAGAGAGTTTCAGCTCTACGACAGTTTTAGAACAAGCGCGTTCGATTTCTTTTTCTTGACGCTTTCCATTGCTGTGGAGAGCGGTGAATGTGTGGCTTTGAGAAGCCGTAGTAATCTAAGCGAGAGCAGATGAAAAGAGGGGAAACAAATCGCCACTGCGTCAATCAGGTGAGTACAGTTTCGCCTTGAGGTCCATCAACCCGTACAAAGCTCGCGCCACAACGTAAGCAGTAAGAGAGGGGTATGGCCACACCTGACACGGCAGCTGCCAATCCAACTGACCAAATAGACTGCCACAGAGAAGCACCGCCGCCAGAACAAAGCAGCGCGACACTTCGGAGGAGTTCGTGCGCAATTCGGCCCCTTTGACAGCGTGTGCGTCGTCGTGGAAGTCCACAGCCGCGTCTACAGTAATGGAGGAGGCTCTTGCCGCAGAACTCCTTCTTTTCGTCGAGGGTTCCGCTGCTTTCTGCTGCTTCCCCTCGTCATTCACATCTTGCGGCGTAACCGTAAAAAGGTCCACCGCGCTCGCTAACTCCGGCTCGAGAAAACGCTCGCGCTGGAGTGCAGCGCTGAGGTGCGCACACCACGCCAGGAGAGGAAGGGGCCACGTGCACGATACGATGACGGAGCACAAAAACGTGGCGACGGTGCGCCGTGCGGGAAACACCGGTGCACCGAGGAGAAAGAACACGCACCACCACCCGATTGCATCCCTGCTACGCTGCATTAGGGTGTGACTTGTTGCGGCGCATTTGCGGTGAATCAGTGGCGGAGCCGGGGACATCGTCTAAACATGAGTAGGTGTGATCTTCGGTAAAAGAAAACGTTGAATGGAGGTTTCTGCGGGGAAGGAGGAGGCTAAATACTGAAGACAAAGAGAGATTGAAGATGAAAAAACAAAGAAGTGGTGGGGGGGGGGGAGGGGGAGCCGAGGCTAGAAAGTGATGAAAAAATACATTGGGGGCAAGTTGAAGTCACTGCACGCGTAAAAGAAATGAGGTAAGGTGCATCGAGAGGAGGAAAAAAAAGTTTCTCTTACGCGCGTCATATGAGAAGGATGTTGCAAATCAATCTAACTATCTTCATTTTTTTGGGACTAATGAGAAGGTAAACGTGCCATAGAAGCGCAGCAGAATACAACTCTCCCGAGTTAATAAACAAGCAGCAACCGTGTAGCGACACGGTACAGTGAGTTCAATCAGCAACAAGAAAACAAAAAGCAAAAGAGAAGTAAGACGCATTTGGCGTTTGCGATCTAGTGGAAAAAAAAATGCTCCTCGTGCCCCAACGGTCGCATCCACCCCGCCGACGTTCCTTTCTCCGTTTTTTTTTTTTGGGGGGGGGGGGGCGATTTTCCTTTCTTTCTTAGTGACTGCTCGGTGGCCGACGCTCACGTGCAGCTGCGGCTAGCAGCACCGCGGTTCTGCCCCGCCGTTCCTCCGTCGTCAGCGTCGTGGCGAGCAGCTTGGCATGGGTGACAACCTCACGGCAGCACCGTGCACTGTGTACTTTCAACAACAACAAACTTGCCATCTCGAGGGACTCACTCCGCCACAGGCGATACAATTCTTCCGTCTCGGCGGCGATGAGCAGCTGCATCCGAAAGCGCCACGCCGCCTCTTGCCGCCACAATTCGTGCAGGGCACCGCAATGCTCGCCATACAGCCGATGCATCGCCATGGCGGACGTCACAAAGGTCGGCAAAGCGCGCTTGCTCCACCAAAAGTGGATGAGCAACTGAGAGGCGTTCAGCAGCTGGCGACGCTGGACCTCCGCGGCAACTCTCGCCATTCGCGAGGACGACGAAGAGGAGGCGGACGAGGTGAAGGTCGGCGAGGACACGGCGGGACTGCAGGGAGGCGTCGGCAGCATTGTTACCACACTGTCCGGGCAGGGCAGCATCATCTTCTTTTCCGGATGGGATGACAGTGGTGATCCTGGCTGTGGCGGCGCCAACACGCTTCCGCCACCGTCGTTGTTGCCGCTGGACCACGCTGCCGACAGCGATCGGTGGAATTGGGAGTGGCGATCGGAGAAGCTTTGCGACCGAAAGCTTGTCCGCGGCTCTGCCACCCGCTGCATCGCGTGTCGCCACTTAACGTTCGCGTCTTCGGTGTTGGCCAGAACGGGGTGGCTGCTGACGCTGCTGCCGCTTTCCTGCGGCAGCGACGATTCCTCCCCCTCCTTCCGCTTCAACGCCTCGACCTCGTGTTCGGCGTTACCTCCATCGAGCCCGTTCTTCTCACTATCAACGCCACCGCCACCGCTCACGCCATCCCCTTCCGCATCATCACCGGCCATGTGCCGCCGCAGCAACTGGGTCATCTTTGCCCGCTCGTCCTCGCGGTATTGCCGGCTCATCTGCCGGTGCCGCTCCTCGCTTGCGGTGGTCGAGCGCGGAGACGGTTCCAGATCCGCCTCCGCCTGGATGATGACTTGACGGGCCCGCCGTGTCCGACTGGAGTCCGTGGAGGGCTTCGTGGGGGTCGGGGGTGGCTGCTGCGTGGCGGGACTCGGTGGAACGAAGAGGCTACGCGACATCGTCGTGCTGGTTGGGGCGGAGACGGGTGGGACGGGCGGGTTGGTCGTTGTCGCGCCGCGGCTGCTACCAACACCACCATTAATATTAGTGTTACCATCGGGAGTATCAGCAAGGGTGTAGTCATGTCCTGCTCCCCCGTCACTGCCGCGGTGTGGGACCTCCTCGGGGCCACATGGCGGTGGCATCATGAGCGGAGCGGAGCTGCCTTGCATCATTTCGAGAGGAGGAGGAGGTTGCCTTGCCGATTGTCTCGCAGGCATGTCAGAAGTTGGCTGGCTCTCCACCACAGGAGCAATATCCGTGTGCCTGGGATGTTTGGCAGGAGCTACGGTTTCTATCTCGGTGTCTGCCATGGTTGCTGTGAGCGCCAGAGGCGGTACGGAGGGGAACTGCGTCGCTTGCTCTTGTTCTTGCTGCGCCATTAGCGGTGAAGCCTCCGGCACCGCATCCGGCTCTGCGTGCACGGTGTTGCAAAAAGATGGGCGTGGACTGCGAATGACCAACAGTACCGACTCCTTCATGTGTGCCACCTGCACCTGGTTGAGCCGCTGCCGAAAGAGGGTCTTGTAGAAGTCTCTCTCCAGCGCCTCTCGCCGCTGCAGCTCCTTCAGTTGTACGCCGACACGCACGATGCCCTCCTGCACGATGAGTGGCTCCATCTCACGCGTCAGCCACATCGCACCCGACCGGACTGCCTCCATAAAACACGACAAACCACGCAGGCCCTCCTGCACGTGCAGGTGCAGCAGCATACTCGTGTAGAGCAGACTCATCTTGTGCCACACCGCCGCCTCTACCGCGGGGCGGCAGCGCTGGAGGTAAAACTGCTGGAATTGGTACTGCGCCCCCAACTCTGCGCGCACTGCTGACCCGCGCAGCACGCGCTGCAGCCGCAACGTCGCCATCTCCACCTGCGCATTCCACACATCCCAGAGCTGCCGCCGTGTCGAGAGGGATTGCTGGTTGAGCAGCGGGTCGAGGTGGCGGCGTATCTCGCGTGGCTGCCGCAGCCACCAGTGATAGCCACTGAAGCGGTACCGGCGGGCAAGATACACGCGCGTCAGGGCGGCAGCACCGAAGCGGTAGAGTGCCTCCGCCGCCCGCGCCCGACGCTGCTGCCGGCGCGCACGCCAGCTGCCGAGGTAGCGGCGAAAGAACTGTTGGATGCGCAGACGATCAATAAAGCTCTTCTTCACCTCCAGCTGATACAGCATGCGAAGCGTGTGCACCTGACAGTTGCGCAGCTGCTCGGCGGAGGAGATGGTAATGGGAGACTGCAGCATCGACGAGGATGAAGTGGTGGTGATGGTGCTGGCCGTCGCGGTATCGAGAGCCGCGGCGTTAGATGAGGAGGCTGCCTGAAAACCGTGCATCGTGTCGCTGTTCTGGTATGCAGGCGGAGACCCAGTGGCGTAATAGTAGCCCTGGGCGTCGAACCTCTCTTCGTCAAGCGACGCACCCAGCTCTTTCAGCATGGCAGCAATTGTCGAAAGGGCGTTGGGGGCGTAGCGTGCCGCCCGCGTTGACTTGCAGTGCGCGAAGTCCTCCTCTGCTCTACTGTCTACCGCAAACGTAGGAGAGGCGCAGGATTTCGCTGCGGAAACGATGGAGGCAACGCCGCCACTTGGCATGGAAGCTCTCTCCAGCATATCTGGTTGTGTTGTGCGTGCACCGTTGGAGTCGAATACCATGATCGAGCTGCGTTTAGAGAGGGCTGCGTTCTTCTCATCCACATCACCAACACCGGCCACCACCGGGAGCTGCGCAGTGTCCAACAGCCACAAGACCGAGCCGATTTCACTGGACCCTTGCGCGCTGACAAGCCACACCGGAAGCGGCACCGGGGCAACCGAGAAGGACTGCAGCTGCATCGTGATGCGTAGGCTCTGCAGGAGCAGTCGCTTCGCCGCGGCATACTGGTACCGGTGCAGCAACACGCAGGCTTGGTTATTGAGTGCCACCGCGTAGTCGTATACGGGGACGTCGCTGGCGTGGTGCACGACGCCCTGCAGCGTGGTGGCGGCTTCCGTCAAAAAGTGCTCCACCTTCGCGGCACACCGCAGTCGCCGTGCATACAGTTGCACGCCGGCCGATGGTTTCTGCAGCGTGTTCTGCCGCCGCATGTGGCGCACGTAGGTGGCCATGGACTGCTGGCTCATCACGTATTGCCGCTGTGCCTGCCGACAAAAAAGATAGGCCGTATTGTTTAAAACACTGCAGAGCGCCTGCTTAAGACGGTCCGGTGCGGTGGTCCACGACGCACGCCTCACAAAGGCCCATGCGCTGTTTGCGTCGCCCTTGCCGTGCATATAGGCCACGACGGAAGTCGGTGTGCCACCTGCTGACGCGGCCGCGCCGTGGCCCCCCTCCACGTCGAGAGGCCTGTCCACGTCGATCGTGGTCATCTCACCGCGGTCGTCGTGCGCAAACACAGAGGAGCCGAACTGACCGCACAGCGCCGATGGGTCGAGGTTTATTGCGCTGGCGACTAGCTGCCGATCGAACAATGGCTTCCCTCCGCCTTTCTCTCCTGCTCTTGCAGCATCTTCCGCCAGTTCACGCAGGTGGTACGTGATACTCCGCCGGGCACGGAAAAACTCCGTCATTGCCTGCGGCCACGTCTTCGAACTCTGCAGCAATAACAGCCCCACGTCGCTCGCCGCCATCGCCGCCTCCACGCTGTTTTCTCCGTGTGTCATGACAGCGAGTTCGCGCCGCAGTGAACAGAACATGACAGCACGCGACATGCCTTCTTTCGGGGTACGATGGGCGTCGGGCAGCAGCATGTGCCGTGTGAGCAGCTCCAGCAGCGTCGTGTAGAGATCAACGCATTGAACAGAGCGTAAGATGAAGCTCTTGAAAGCGCCGATGGAGCCCACCAGCGGTGTGGGGCCGGCGCCGTTCATGCTCAGCGCCCGTGCGGTGGCCGTCGTCATCGCGCGCGTGTCCGCCACCGACTCCTCCGCTGCTGCGACCACCGCCACCTGCCGTTGGGTGATGGGCGGCGGTAGCGGCACACTGCGCAGCCGATCAACGGAGAGCGCCGGCGCGCTCGTCGCCCTCTCCACCGCTCCAGGTGCTCCTGTAGTATTATCACCGCTGCTGCCGTTCGCTACGGTTGCTGTTGCCCTCGCTTGCTGGGACGGGTCGAGGGTGAAAGTTTGCGAGCCGAGGGGTGTGTGCAGGTATTGGTTCCGGGTGTCCGACGATTCGCCGTTGCGGGGTGACAACGGGAAAGGAGACGCCGCATTCACGCGAGCGCGGAGGCCGCCGCCGCTGTTGCTGCTGCTGCCGACAGCGCCAGATCGGAGAGCAGGCCAGCCAGGAGAGCGGGCGACGCGCCGGCCTCCGCCGCTCACCGCAACGTCATCGCTGGCGGCCGGCCGAAGGAGGGCGTCTTCGCTCTTCGCATTGGGGTCGTCCACTGCGCCGAAGTTGAATATCCCGCCTGTGAGGACGTTCAAGTCGGCAATGGCCGCTTCGAGCGCCGTCGTCACGCCCGACGCGGTGAACTGCGCCGCAACGGTGGCGATGATTCCAATCTTTTGCCGCAGCAGGTAGCCGTACACGACGTGGCTACCGTTCATGTTCTCCATGCACTCCGTCATGTGCCACATGGAAGACATGGCTTCGTGCAGGTCGACGCGTGCGTTCAGCAGGCTCAGCCGTGCGTGCATCGAGGCGTTGAGAGACATGACGGCGAGGGTGTCTTCGCTGTTGGCGCTGGTGGCCGCCAATTCTCCGCCGGCGTATTCTGCATCCCCGATACCGCCGCAACCACCGTTGTTGTTGCCCGTGGCGTTGTAGACGCTCATGATTGCGCTGGCGGTGTTGCCACGGGCACGCGCCAGGCGCTGGCGGTGAGCGAGAGGCGACTCCAAACCACGCCGGCGTGGCCACGCCAGATGGCCGGCAGCCCCGTTGAGCATTCGGTCACTGGGTTGGTCGGATTGCTTAATAAAGTCGAAGTCCTCCATAATAGCCCACCCGCGGCACGCAACGCGCACGTCCGCCGCGTGCAGCTGGATGAGCTTGCCCATGTACACCATGTGTGGGTTGCGCTCCCGCCAGAACGTGGACGGTGCCCCGTCGTGGCCCTGACCAATGAACGGCGCACTGAGGCCGGAGGAGACGATGGCGATGCCGATCTCACGCTGGTGCTGTGCGTACTCGAGGGCGCCTTCGACGCTGCCACGGTGGAGGCACAGGGGGAGTTCGATTGTTGTGCCCCACACGGCAGAGCGCAGCGGACAGCCCGAGCTCAGCGGAGGACATGCGGCCACGGCGCCACTGATCGTTCTCGTTTGTCCTCCCGCGTAAGCCGAAGAGGATGGAGAAGACAACGTTACGGACGACAACAGAGAAGGCGAGAGTGCACGCAGGGCGTCCGCACCAGTGAAGCTGCTATCTACGTCTATGCGGTTCTGCCGCAACACCAGAGGGACGCCCATCATCTCTTCCAGGCACTGCAGCGACCACCCAGGGAAGAGCTCTTTTGCCTCGACCTGAATACTCTCCTCGTCGGCGGCGGGGTAGTACACGGGGATGGCACCGCGCAAACGGGACGACGGGCCGCGGCCACGCTTTGGGGCTGGAGACACCGGCGCAGAGGCAGCGGCGGCCCCGAGTCCGCTGCGACTCGCACCACGACTTAACCACGATTCGCCTCCGTTGCTGCCGCCGATACCGCCGTTGTTATTATTACTACTACTTGCAATACCACCACCACCACCGTTACCACTCCCGCTGTTACCTCCTCCCCCGCCACCACCATCGGTGCCGACGACAGGAGGGGTCCTGGTGTATTGACTGCGCCGCGTGGGAACTGGTGCGCGCTTGTGCAGCAGCTGCCACTCACTCATCTTTTCGTTTCCGCTGTAGGGCTGCACCACGTATTGCTCATTTACGGCGAGCAACAACTCGTCGAACATCGTCAGGCGGAACGCCACTGCGCTGAGCTGCCGGTTGAGAACCGGGTAGCCTCCAAGGACCTGCGCGCTGCTCGTCGCGAGAGAGCGGCCGGCCTCGTCAGTGAGGAAGCGGTTTGACGACTCCGTGGCGGACGCGCCGGCGGCGCTGAGAGCGGTGCCGTTGGCAGTGCTGAGAAGGGGCATGAAAGGACTGACGTGCTGCTCCGCAAAGTTCCCAGCCACACCGCTGTCGTTGGGCGTATTTGGCAGCTCCAACGGCCCAGTGCCTCCGTATTCGACGACGGAGAGGTTTGCAGGCAACGGCGGGACGCCACCGCCGCCGTTGTCGCTGTTGTTGTTGCTGCTGCTCATGTTCACCGTAAAGACGCCGTTCAGCACCCGTCGTACTGCGTCTAGCAGCGGCGCACCCAGCGCCTCTCTCGTTTCGTCAATGAAGGCGAGAAGATGTCGGCGCATTTCAGCGGCGGACGCCCCACTGCCCTCGCTTGGCTTTTCTTCCTCGCAGTCTGTCGCCGCCGCCGCGTCCTTTGCGCTCTCGATGGCAGTCTGATTCTGGCGCTTCCTGTCGTACTCCTCCTCATAGTCGACCACCGCAGTCTTCGACGCCGCCGATTCACTTTCTTCCTGCGGCAACGATGCTACGGACTCGCCTTCGGTGTGAGCTGCGGGGACGGGGACTGTTCTACTCTTGTTGTTGTGGTCACTACTGTCGAATGTTGCCTCTGCTGCTGAGGTGGACGCCAAGGTAGTAGCCATCAACGCTGCCGTTTCCTTTAACTTGTTCTCTTGTGCTGTGTCGTCCTTCTGCGCTGCTAAGGCACTCCCCCTCGTCTGGTCCTCCGCAGTCTTTGCGGCCCTCGTTGTCGACGCTGCCGCGAACGTCGCCGCCTCTTCTTTTTCTTCTGCAGCCTCCGCGACCGCTACGCACAGACTGTGAAAACGGTGCTGCCAGTCTGGGTTTTGGCGGATGACCATGTACCACTCCTGATAAATGAGGTGTTTGATAACCCGCGCCAGGAGCTCACCCACCACCGCCTGGATGCACCGACGGCACTGCTTCAGCAACTCGTACTTATTCGGCGAGGACGAGCCGAGGCGGTAGGCGGTCTGCACCGCCTCGTCCAGCGACGCCTCCTCCGTGCGGAGGAGGTCGACAATGGCGTAGACGTAGTTGCCGTAGCGCACGCCGTGGCTGTGGCACAGGGTGGACAGGAGGACGGGCGGCTTACCGCGGCTCCAGTGTCGCTGCGAGGGCACTCCAAGACTCCCAAGTGATTCGTTCAGAAGAACACTGGCGTGCATACCGGAAGAGGCAAACATACTGCTGCCGTTGCTGTTGCTGTTGAATCGCGGCAGTCCGTTTAGCAGCTGACCCACCATAATGCGCAGCTTCGACTGGAGAATAAGCTTGTTCGGCCCTCCGCTCCGCTGCACGCACCCGCTCTTGCTCTGGAACATTTCCCGCCGCGGCACCCGCGCTGCCATCCACGACGTGCGCGTGTACCATTGGTAAAGGCAAATCGCACGGGCGTCGATGAAGTACCACCGCGCATCGGCACCGATGGCCGGGGTGAGCTGCAGACCCCCGCTGCGGGTGAAGGAGCCGCCCTGTCTGGCCGCCGCGGATGTGAAGACCTGCCGACTAACACGATCCACCATCCCAGCGACGGAGTTGGTGAGGGTGGTCGGGTCGCCGCGAAAGACGGAGTTGCGTCGATTTTCCCGCGGGACAGGCGCCCCACTCGCGTAGGTTTGGGAGGTCACGTCGTAGCTCGACAGCGGCGCCACGCCCACGCCGCGGCTGCCGTAGTACTCGTTGGCACTTGTTGCAGGCTCGAGCTGCTGCAGCAACGACCACGCTACGGACCTTTCCAGGGCGTTATCAAGGCCCGCGGTGCCCGCCATGGTGTGCAGCGACGGCGCTGAGGTCGCCACCTCCGTCGTCGACGGGCCGCCTCCCTTTGCGAGACCGTTGAAAAAAGGGCCGGCGCCTGTCTCGCTGCGACCGCCCTCCGCGCGATCGAGCGGGCGCATGAGTCGCAAGTTGGCGCACAAACCGCAGAATGAATGCCACACCACCGTCACCGCGTCCCAGCCGTGCCATAGCCCCGTGACCGGTGCGAGAGACATACACAACACCGGCACCCCTAGTACCTGCATCCCCAGCGTCAGCGGAACAAAGAAGAGGGAGAGAGGCGCGTTCACGACGGCGTGCAGGGCGTCCACGTAGGCGCGGACCTCCCGCATCGTGTTCCACCGCAGCAGACACATCCCATGTGCGGCATCGTAGCAGCAGGTGCTGCTTCGACGGATGAGGTGCTGCGAAAACGGGGTGTGCTCGTCCAAGTCGGACACCCACGCCGTCACGACCTCCGTCATCACACCAGACATGTCACGCAGAAACGCATTCCAAGGCTTGTGAAACTGCTCCTCGTAGTTTTCGTGGCCCCATTCTTTGCGTAGGATGGCGTAGGACGCGGCGTTTCGGGTGCTGCCCCCCGCCGCTGTGCTGCTTGCGTCTGCCTTCACGCCCGCGCCGGAAGGACGACCCGCGCTTGAAATGTGCAGCGACGCCTGCACGCGCCGAGAGTCACCACCGTGTCGTTGTCCCTCCAGCGAGGTCGATTCCCTATCTCGTTCGTCCTCGGACAACGCCGTGGCCAGGAGATGATGCGAAGGGTCCGCCTCTGAAAAAGTTTTTTTCGACGAGTTGCTTTCGTCATCGTTTCCACTCGTGGCAGCTGCGGGTTGCGCGGTGAGAGGTGTGTGCTGTGGCACATACTCATTCTCACCCTTACCTTGGCGGGCGCCTACAACGCGAGTCGGCAAACGAGAGGCGGATGCGGACGCTTCAGCGGCAACAGCGTTTCCGCGCCGTCCCAAAGTTATTGATGATGAGTCATTCGAATGTGCAGTGGTGGTACTGTGCAACGCACTGCTGTTGTTCTGGGCTTTACTCGTGGCGGTAACTGCAGACCATCCGCCGTTGTCTTCGCGAAACGCTTCGTGTTCGCTGTTGCGCAATGACTGTGAAGTGAAGATGCCTCGCATGCTTTCGATTTGAGTGACGTAGCGCTGGTGCGTCTCGCGTGCGGTAGCGGTGTCGCCATATAGTTTGCACACGGCAAAATACTCGTCTAAGAGCAGGGGGGTATTTGAGGGCTGGAGGCGCTGGCCCATGAGAGAGAACGCCACGCTGGCATCTTTTACAGTGTACATGATCAATTAAAGAGGTTGCTAATATATATATATATCAGGCACTACAGGAAAGAAGAAAAAAGGTAGGTTAGATCTCACCAGGACCAAAAACCGATTTTTGTAGAGCGAAAACAGAAAGGCTACAATGGGAAAAATGCGAAGAGAAAGAAGCGTGTATTACATATCCTCTTCAGCTAATGACGCCCGAAGGAAGTGGGGCAGCGCAAGTTCGCTTCGACCCCGACAGTAAGAACCTACAAAGGAAACTAATGGAGAAGCGAGAAACGAGCAACACTGCAGCGCGCAAGTAAAAGCTGTTGTGTGTGTGTGTGCAACGCAAAGACCGAGGAGAGGTGGAACGAAGGAAAGAAAGAAAAGGAAGGCAACTGAAAACTCAAGAAAAGATAAACATATTTAAAAAATAGAATCGTTGTCGGGGACACCCTCGCCAATAGTCGCACAACGATGTGGCTCGATGACTTTTGAGACTCACTGCGCTCTCGCTAAAGGTGAAACGTGAGTTGAGAAGGACGAAATTTTAAACTACAGCAAAAGCAGCTGCGAAAACACGTGGAGGAACACCTCCCACAAAAACACCGCAACCTCTCCCACAAAGAGCGGACAGCTAAAAGAAGAAGAAAAAAAATGTGCGACAAAAATGACTCCTTCAGTTTCTACTTCTGAAGGGTCCTATAACGCCACGACACCCGAGAAAAGTGATTTGTCTGTGCCTATGTTGACGACAATAGAGCTTGCTAAGGAGGCTCTTCAGTAAACAAAAATGTGTATTTGGGGCCGAACGGTGATGCGTAGAGAAAAGTAGAAAGAGAGAGTTCACGCCAGCATACGCGTGATCAGCAAACAGTCAAGTTAGACAGCCATCCCGAAAGGAAGAAAAAAAAGAAAGGAAGGCAGAAAGAGAACAGAGAGAGAGGGGACCGAAGAGTACGGATTTGTTAATCTTGTCAGTGGCGAGGAGCGCATGGACGATGGAGACTGCAACCACCGCGCTTAGAAGGTAAAGAGAGAAGGAAAAGCAGACTCGCAACTCGAAACTTTATAACAGTATTGAAGGTACGACTCTCGTTTCATCTGCCATATGAAACCATCGAGGTTTCGCTTCTTCCTATTGCTGCTCCTTTCGATGACTCTAGAAACGTTTTCAGAACTGTTGCTTGCTGTCCGTTGATGTCCTCTGTTAATAAGATAATATAGAGTATCAATTTGTTCTTAGTTATCAGCATTGAATAGCAAGCCCCGCAGGACTTTTCAGGCTCAAACAAAAAAAGAATGCAATGTGTATAAAACTGATAATAATAGTGTGATGTGAAAGACTCGCGCAGCATTCCGCATTAGCTCCAGTGCTCATCGTACTTTTACAGCGATGATAAAACAAACAAACAAAAAAAAAACGTTGCACACACCAAAGCGAATTAAAGCGTTCTCACAATCTACAAAAAAAACTTTCACCGCGAGCATATGCAACAAAACATAAAAGACTACAACAAAAGCTGGAGCACTACGTACAGCTCCCTTTTTGTTGCGAATGTGAAAGCAACCGTCTCGCACAAGTATGACTCTGCGGCGGCCAGGAGTTCAGCGAGCAGAACAATCCTGTCTCACAGCTCGTCACTTACGTGTCGAACACTGAGAACCGGTGCTTCGCCTACGTGTGGCCTCGCCGTTACTCGATCTTATGTTCCGTTGAGCTAGAGTGGTGTTGTTGGTGGTGCCTGGAAGGGTGATGGTGCACAGCAGCGTCAAAGTAGACCGGACGCTTGGCGTACATCTGGTTCACGACGACCATGCGTTGCATTTGACGGAGTTTCTCGTGACCTTCCGTGACGAGAAACTTCTTCTTCTCCTCGGGAGAGAGTTTGGCAACCGCGTCGAAATCGTCCTTGATGTGTTGCACGAAGTACTGGCGGAAGTTGTAGTCGCGGAAACCGCGTGCCGTTCGAATCATCTGGCCGCGAAGACGTTGAACAGACTTCTGAATTGCCTGAGACGACGCAGACATCCCGTGAACACGTTTATAGATGCGAGGTGTGTAGGTCACGGTCTTCGGCAATGCTGAGCTATTCAAGCAGCGGATCGACTTAGAAAATAGAAAAAGGCTTGCTTGCGGTGAGCAGCGTCTCTTGTATTTGGCAAAACGCTTGTGAGACGTGATAGCCCTAAATCTGTGGATATCCAGCAAGGTAAAGGGTAATATATCAGAAGTCGAGGAGAGCTTACAAAGCAGTCAAGACGCAAGAGAAGAAAATGAATATTGTGAATGAAGCTTCAGCAAACACAGGCGCGCAGCTAGCTTAAAAGCGTCACGATTTACATGCAGCGCTGCGCTCAGTAACACACACTCTCAAAAACAAATAAACGAGCCAACGCACACCCTGATATTCCTACTGCTAATTATAGGTTGCGTTAGGTAAGTGAGAATCAATCTCATTTACACCACTTTGCTCGCCAGCGCTTTTGCAGAAAACGTACTTTCAGCTCCTTTGGTCTACTAAGGTATCACAAACACAGTATCTTAGTTAAGAGGCGTTAACCGTTGGCACTACAAAGGCCGATTAAACAAAAAAAGAGGAAAATATAAAAAAGTGACACTTTGGAAACTATTCCAAAAGAGAGAGAGCACTTGCACTCGCTTACGTCATCCGGGCCTCGTCACGCAAGTACTCGCCGACATCCGCTTCGTGGAAGAGAACCTGAGAGTTCATTTCACATTTGCGACACTCTAGCGTGCTCTGGGCGGCGACACCAAAGCCTAGCGGGATATCACCCATGGAGAAGACCGCAACCTTCTGGTACTTGGGAGTGGCTTCCGTAATCCGACCAAGGCCGGCACGGGTCACGTTTCCGCCGTAGAGGAACTTCTGTTCCTGGTTAGGCTTCACCCAAATCTTAAACAGTGAGTACTGCGCAATATACTCCAGAGCAGTTACCTGGATGCGAATGTTGCCATTGTGGGTGATCTTTGCGAAAAGAACTCCAATGCCCATGAGATTGTTCTTGGAGACGCAACTTGCCAACTTAGCGAGACGAAGAGGCATGTACCAGATGCGACTTTTGTGGAGGCGGAACACATGCTCCTCCTCACCCTTGCGTTCGAGCAGATGAGTCGTATTGGCGCCGATGTACTGCGCAAGCTTGTCGAAGAGCTGCTTCGTTTCCTCGTCGTTAAGTGGCCGCATTCTCCTTAAAAAAACAGTAGCGAGACTTCCTACTAACGTGTAGACTAAAGCAACTAACTAAGCCAAGTAACAAGAAGGGGAATTCAAACGAACAGAAAGGATGAAGTAGCTGTTTGGTTGAGAAGGATAAGAAGCCTACTGGGGAAAGCTGGAGGCAAAGAGCGCAATTACACAAGCCGGAGTAAAGTTTCCTACTTTTCCTACCACACATATTAAAGCGACTGAGCTCCTCGAGTGGGCTCTTGAAATAACTCAGGTCTTCACCCCGATGCCAGCCACACTGTCAACAAGAACAGTATCGCTGGAAAGAAAAAACCTGCTGCACCTTTTCACTTCAGAAAGAGATCTTTTTTTAAAATCACATAACTGTACAACTGTTTTGGCGCTCTCTGGCCTTCTCCAGTTCAATTTGCGCTTTTGAGGCGCTAATAAGTGCCTTATCAACATTGAAGTCGATACGGTCTAGCATCGTTCCTTGATCGACTACCATGTTGTGCACGTCGTCAAACATACTGTGGATTTCTTGAATGCTATCAAGAATCTCTTTGATCTCCTTGCTTGTTTGCTCCTGACGCATCTCCTCGACCAGCAGCGACTGCACATCCTGCTCCGTGAAGCCCATTTCAAGAAAGTGTGCCATCTTCTCTTCTTGCTTTACCGTTTCGTATGCCGCGTCGCTTCCAATTTTCATGTATTTACTAGACTTCTGCTCACGGCGACGCAGTTGAGTGCCAAAATACTCTTGAGTCGTTTTAAAGAGTGTTGCTAGTTGCTTGAAGCGCGTCGATAGCTGGGATTGTATGTTGCGCACTATTCGACTCTCTTCCTCAGAGTAAGTGGGTTTATTCTGTGTGCCAGCCACAAGAATATGCTCCAGTTTCTTCAGAAAACCTTGAATTTCCGTCGTTTGTTGGTCAATCTCGTCGCGAAGTCTTTTCTCTTCCTCATCGCTGCGAAACTTGGGTCTCAAGAATGCGCGGTGCAGCTCACTTAGCTTCTCAATTTTTTGGGTTAAGATTAGCGCGCTGTCCTCAAAGTCGGAGGGTAAGATGCTCCACAGAGGTGCGATCAAAAGCGGCCGCTCAGTCTGCGTCTGCTCTGCAGACGGAGAGCATCCATACTTGGCGTGCGCAGCAGCACGCCTCTCGGCGAACTCATCATATCGGTTTCGCACCTTCAATTCGGTATCCTCCATTGACATTAATATCAAGGTCTTTTCGTTGTGGAAACGCGCGGACCGTAGCAAAGTAGATCCAATGATGCAAAGTAATAATAATAATAATAATAATAAAACGAAAAGAAGTAGAGAAAGAAGTACCTGGTAGGGGTTGCTTACAACAGACTAGAAACAACACGGCTTCTTCCTACTCACTGTAAAAAGGAAATCCTGCAAAACATTTTGAGATAAGAGGGGCAGGTTTTCTTTTTCCAAAGGTTCCTGTTGAAAACTCCGCTCTTTAACCAGTAAGGTCTGAAGTGTCAACTCTTCAACCGTAACAAAGAGCTGAGGGAGATGTGCTTAGAGTTTCGTCGCTGAAACGCTTTTTTTCCTGATTCTCGCGATAATGTAACGTTAATGATGCTAGTGGTAGTTGCAGCTGGGTAACAGAGAAAAAAACTTCTGTCAGCTGTCCTTACTTACGCGAGAACAACGACGTAGCCGATGAGATACAATCTTCAAAGCTGCTTTTTCTGTTGGATGATAGTTGCCGGTCATGCTTGCAACAAGACAACAACAACAACAAAGAAACAAAAAAAAAAACAGCATCATCTTTGCAGTCTTCAAACAAAGTGTGACATATGCAATGCATTCTGAAAAACAACATCACCCAACACTCGTTACAAACACCCGTATTTACCTTTTACCAGCGCTTTATTGAAGGAAAAAGAAAGGTGTGTAATACGAGTTGAATTACTGAGAGAAATAAATAAAACAAATATCTCTTAAAGCAAACCATAATAACAACAGATAAGAGATAAAGTATGAAATGAAGTAGCAATGCCCGAGATAGCACCTTAGCTATATAAAAAAGAAAACAATAAGTCCACAGTTTCAGACAGTAAGAGAACGTTACAGAAAAACTGCCACACGCACCAAAAAGAAAGAACAATGGATTCAATTACTGATCATTTCAACGAAGGTAATCGTGAAGCTTTTGGAGGCGCTCTGCAGCAGCGTGGAGCTCGCTCTCAGGCTTGCAGCACGCAAAACGAACGTAATTATCGTAGAGTGGCCTACTGTCGTTTTTACAGAAGGCTGTCACAGGAATGCAGCAGACACCGATAGTCTTTGTGAGCCAAAGACTGAACTGCCAATCCTTTGCTTGTGAGGTATTTCCAGGGTCGTAGTAGTGTTTCGGATCCACATTCGAGATATCTGCTAGGACGAAAAAGCCACCCTTTGGCTTTACCGGAGCCAAACCGCTGGCAGCTAGCATTTCGCAAACCTCGTCAACGCGAGCAGCATACTCCCCACGGAATTTTTCGTAGAAACCATTTCCTTCCGCCTTCGCCATCGCTCTCGCCAACGCGATCTGAAATGGAGTGGAGCAGCAGAATGTCTGGTAGGACACAATTTGAGCAATGGGTGCGATCAGCGTGGCATCGCCGACAGCCCAGCCAATCTTCCATCCAGTGCAGGAGAAGGTCTTGCCGGCACTGCAAAGGGTAATAGTGCGTTCCCACATTCCGGGCAGATTCGCAATCGAAAGATGCGGCTTGCCATAGGTGAGGTACATGTAAACCTCATCGGCAATGACGACCACGTCAAATTCCTTTGCCACCTCGGCAATAATCTGGAGCTCGTCTTCTTCCCATACCTTACCGGGAATGTTCTGCGGGGTGTTGAGGAGAATAAACTTGGTCTTTTCGCTAACCGCTGCGAGGAGAGACTCGCGCGTGAGTTTCCATTGATCAGCAGACTCCGTCGAGGGCTGAAGGGAGGCGTACTTCACAATACCGCCGGTGACATAGATATCCTGGTAGTACGCGTCATAGTACGGCTCGATCAGCACCACCTCGTCGCCATGATTGAGAAACGCCTGGAACGTCGCGCTCAGCGCCTGCGTGACACCGTCAGTCACAGCCAAATTCGGAAGGCCAACTTCGCGAGAAAAGTGCTTCGAGTAGACTTTGCCAAGCTGTCCGACAAGTTCTGCGTTACCGCGAACGGGGCAGTATTGATGAGCAAGCGGTGCTTGCTCACTATTTTCCAGCACCTTCTCGAGCTCTTCGAGGAGAAACTTAGGAGGGGCAAAGCTTGGGAAACCTTGCCCAAGATTGATCGCTTTGTGTTTGTTGGCCAACGGAGTCATTTCCTCCCAAATAGAGTTTGTCGGTAGCCCTTTCAGGCGCTGTGCGATAGCAAACTTGGACATTGTGGAGAACAGCAGAAAAAGAAAATAGTAATAGTCAGAGTAATTGACAATCAAAAAGAACGAAGGAAATTAGTGGATGCTGAGTGAATGAATGCTGATACGCTGTGCTAAATAAAACTCTCCAAAAACATAGAAAGAATGAGGGAAGAAAAGGACACGGAAACTTAGGGAATCCCCACTGCAAAACAGGTTTGCCTTTTAACGTCATTGCTGCTGTTGACAAACGAACAAAACGCCACAGAACGATATTCATTAAAGAAAGCGGTGGTTACTTTGCGGTTGGTGCTTGAGCACATAAGTTCTGTGTAGCTTTTCTGGCTGAAACAAGAGGCTTTGCGTTGCTGTGTTCACATTGTGCGAATAGAGTAAAATTTTCTTCTGCGAGTACTTCACCACGCCGGCACGTGGAGCCGTTGCAATTTTGGGAAGCTATGGTAGTGCTTGAAAACCGTCGTAGTGGAAGTTGTTCTCGTTCTGCTTCGACGGAAGTGGACGACAACAAGTGTTTGTTTTTTGGTTGGAGAGATACCCAAAAGGCGGTCGAGAGGGCAGTGAGAGGTAAGCCGGCACATGCGGCATGTGGCCGATAGTTGCGTGAGAAACGACTGAGGGAGGGGGAGAGTCGGAAACTCGAAGCGACGGCCGCCGCATTTTCCTCCTAACGCGCAGCCTGAGCATTGGGGTTGACGTGTGGCATTCCTAGCTCAGTCGGTAGAGCGCACGGCTCTTAACCGTGTGGTCGTGGGTTCGATCCCCACGGAGTGCGCTTTTTTTTTCGATTGCGCGGGGAGGGGCTGGGCGAGGAAAAGGGGGGGGGGGGCCAAAGGGGGAATCGCGGGGTCCAGTGCGCCATCGCCCCGGCGCGTTTTTAGGAGGTCTGTATGGCTGCCGGGCGCTGCGCGGGGTGAATGGATAGTGTCGGAAGTCCACTGCGAGGAAGGAGTGCAGGATCAGGTCTCTGTTAGTGCATCTCTCTCGGGCTCTTCGCGCGCCTTGGTTGTTTTCTTTTCTTGTTCCGGTGGGGCCGCTCCGCTTCCGCGGCGGGCGCGGGGGTCCTCTCTTTTCGGGGGAGGGGGTCCTCGGCGCCGCGGGGAGGGCCGGCGTGGGCGGTGGGCGGAGGGCCACCGCGCACCAGCCCCTCCCCCTGGCCCCCAACCCCCCAGCCGTTTTCCATGTGGCGTCTTCTGGCTTTCCGCGGGGCCGCTCGTAGCGGTGTCGCCCGCCATTTCCTTCTTTTGCAAAAAAAAAAAAACCACAAACGACAACAACAGGACGCATGCAGGCCCTGTTCCTTACGGCGGCAGCGGGATGGTGAGCGGCTCATCGTACAACTCGCCAACGCGGACAAACGGCATCTGAAAGCCGTTGGCGCCGCGGCCGTGGTAAGACGCTGTCCTAATCCGCACCTGCCCTTCCGCCACGCGCGTCACAACACTGCGTTGGAACAGTACGCCGAACAGCGTTCGTGCGGGGGCTGCCGGGGCATCCAGGGGCTCCGGCGGTCCACCCGACTCCCCGGCGTCCCCTGCCGCGGCCGGCTGGCCCTCAAAAGGCGTGGTGCCGTACTCGTGCTGATGGCGCTTCCACTCCACAAAGCGCAGTGCCGGTCGCTGCGCCTTACAGAACTTGTAGGTGCTGCCGTCTGTGTTGATCTTGTCACGGAATACAGACGGCGGCGGGTTCACGACCGCAGCGTGCGTAGGGCGTGTCGGGCTGGACGGGCCGTTCGTGTCCAGTCGGGGCCCGCGGGAGCTGTAAGGCATGTAGAAGCTTGTGACGTGCTTCACCAGGCGGTGCGCTTTGGCCGCGCCAGCGCCGTCTGCCCAGCGCACCCGCTTGCGTGACGGCGCGGCGGCAGCCCTGGGAGGCGTCGACGCGAGGGAGGCCGCCGCCACCACCGCCGCCGCCCTGGCCGCGATTTCGTCCACGTTCACCTCATCCTCGTTTCCGCCACCGCCGCCGACGCCGACTCCGCCGTCGGCGTCCACCACCGGCACCTCCATCGGAAAGAAGTCGCCCTCGACGAGGTGGGGGTGATGGGCGTCTGAGGCGGCCACATCCGCCTCCACGACGTCGTCGGCGCCGTCGTTCACCGCAACTGGCGAGCTTGGCTGAGTCTCCTCGTTCATTATTCCCACCAAAAAGGAAAGAAAAGAGAGAGAGAACAACTGTGCGAGGGTTGGAGCTACAGTTATCTATGGAAGATCCAATTAAGAAGCAGTGACTCTAATAGCGTTCCTCTTTCTTTTTTGTTGTTGGCGCTTTTCCTCGGCTCGTGTGGGCAGCAACAAGGGTGAAGGCAGCTGCGCGTATTGCTGGCGAGAAAGGAGGGATACAAAGCGGCGAGGAACAGGAGGTCCGTTGTGCAACGGTGTATATGTGTCTGTGGAAACTGCGTGCAATTCACAGGCTTCTCTTACCCTTTTTTTTATTCGAAAAGCCGCAGGCAGGTGTCACACACATACAAAACAATGTATGTGCTCTCTTCCTTCGAAATTTAAAAACCGCACTGGTTGATAAGAGAGAAGAGGGAGAGGGAGAGTAGATAGTGCTAGTTACTGCGGTCCCCTTGCAGGAACGCAAGTTCGTTTCCGTCGCTTTACCCAATGGGTGACTGCACTTGGTCGATTTCGCTCAGAACTATGGACGACATCTGCGTAGGCGCCAGGGTTTTGCTCAGGACCTGGGCTCAGAGGACAAGAAAAGAAAAAAGAACAATAATATGTATCGTTTCGGGTAATAAAAATTAAACACAACAAAAACAAAAGCAACGAAAACAAACCAAAAAATAATACTTGCACAACTTCAGCAGCCTGGGCACACATTGAGTAGGGTAAGTCCACCATACTAGAAAATAAGAAGGAAAAAGAGGAACAGTAAAACAAACAAGCATACACCGTAACGACGGTTCTCCGTCGATGACCAGGCGCTTTCCCCTTTGCCATCAAGAAGACGAAACACCATCTATTACGCTCTGCGCCTACCGACGAGTCGCGTCAGACAGCTGTGAGTCGTGCCCTGGCGCTAGAATTGCCGACACATGCTCGTGAGAGCGAGAAAAGTATCACACACTGCACAAAAAGGAAGAGCAGAAGCGAGTACTCAACGCATAAAACAAACAAACTAACAAGCGAAGCGAAACAGACACACGCTGGAAGTAGCAATAATAATAACTATTATTGATAGTAAACGCACGGTAATGTCGGTAACATAGCCTATGATCCCCAGACGCACTCCACTGCGTCAGTTGTGAAGAGACTTCACTACAATTAATTCGAAAATTGTAAAAGAAAAAAATACAATGACTAAAATGATTCAGCAGGTTCTCCAAGTCTGTATCGATGCTGAACGAGGGCAGACGTAATACTGTGAGAAAAACAACGCCAACAAGCCGCAGACCCAACCAAATACAAAAACACCATAGTCAACGCCAAATGAGTCGGTGCACAGAATACAAAAACAGCAGCACAATTAAATAGTCCAACACGCAAGCTGGAACATTCGCATAAAAGATTGTTGCCTCTCAACACATGGCGCGTTCGTTTCCCATGTGTCACTTTCTCAAAATTACGCCTTTCTTGAGGCAAGTAACATGGGATCGTCACACATGTGGAGATACTCCACGAACACACGCTGGTTATTCATCCACAACTCGACCACTTCATTCGAGAGTACGTTGCGTGCTGCAGCGCGCGCGCGCCGGTCATGGCGAGCTGCCACCAACCACGCGAAGTGGTTCCGATGGGCTGAGAAGCGCGGCTGCTTCGTTGGGGCGGCGTAGTGAATAAATGGTACGTGCACAGTGTCCGCGTCATCTTCCTGTTCGTTCGCATAGCCGCGCACGCGATCTTCCGGCGTGGCCGAGCGCCAGAGCAGCGGCGGCGTCACCAAGGCACCACCACGTGTCATCTGGAGGTAATCCATGTCCTCCTTTTTCGGCCAGTTGTCGCCGAGCAGGAACCGAGTCCGGTTTCGCACCCAAAAGCCGGCGCTCTCGGGAAACTGCCGTTCCAGGTAACCGCCATCGTGGAAGAGCGCCGGGTTGCGCTCCATCGCCGGGGCCAGCACCACCATCTCCGACCGCCGGTCCACACCGAGGAACCCAGGGGGGCCAAAACGGGGGTCAACCACCACCGGCGGGCTGCGCTCGGAGAGTGGGGGCCCATCGAGGAGGCCGTGCTCAATCTCAAACAGGCGAGCGCGGGTGTAGATTTGGCCAAAGAGGGCCTGGTCGCACCACCACTGGTCGGTGTGGTGGTCCTCCGCCTCGGGGACTGGCTTCTCTTTCTCCACGTAGGTGGCGATGGTGCTGGCCAGGTGGCGAAGCGCCCACACACGCGACACATGCATGCCACCATTCAATAAATTGATCGGGTTCGCCCTATTGACGGTGCTGACGCGGTAAAACAGTGGGTCACTCGGCGAAACGGCGCGTTGCATGGCGTAGGGCGAGTTGGCATTGGGCACGTTAAAGATGCTATCCTTCATCCACTGCCGGCCACCAGCAAAAGCGATCCCTAACTCACGCCGCACGTCCGTCGCACACTGCAGGGTGTAGGAGCCCAGCGAGGCTCTGGTGTAGCTAGACTTGCCGTTGCGCGCCGCCTCAATAAGATGCTCCATCGCCGCAAACGCAGCGGGGCACCGCACGAAGCCTTCCGAGTGCTGCCCCCACCAGCACTGATCGTCCGCGTTGTACACCACCGGCGGCAGCTGCATCGATGGCCGCTTTGGGTGGTGCGGCGCCCCTTGCTTCTGCAGTCGCTCCATAAAAAGCGGCGCCTTCTTCTCGCCGTAGTCCTCCCACGCCCGCACGGCGGCCACGTCGAGCTCCGCCTCCGTCGCCGGCGAGAAACGCGCAAACTTCTTCAAAAATGGTACAAAATCCGCCCCGGTCCAGAAGACGTCGCTGTCCAGCGTGACGACGATGTCCTCGTCGCGCAGACCTTCCTGCTTGACAAAGTCGAGGTAGGTGTTGAAGCGGTGGATGTGCGAGTAGGAGGCGTTGAAGCCTGTCACGGGAATGCTGAAGCCGCCCAGTGCAGCTGCACCGACCGCGGTACAGAGCTTCCAGTCCACATAATTCGACAAGATGTGGAAGCGCACACGGACGGGGCGATCGCGTTCGATGCCCACACTGCGCAGGTACCCGTTCACCTCGTCCTCTAATGCTTGCTGCCGGTTCGAGCGACGCTGCACCTTTGCGACCAGTTCTGGATCATTTCTTCCGTCCAACTGAACCTCGCTGGTGCCGGATGGAAGCGGTGCGATGTATAGTGCATGCGCTGCGTAGGCGTATGCGTGGGAGCGATAAGGAACGGTAAGGGTGTGGCCGTCCAAGACGCCAGGGAAGTCGTAAACTGCTAGCCACAGGTAGAGGAGGCTCGACAGACAGAGGGTGAACATCAGAGTGCACAGCAAGCTACATCGACAGAAGCGAGACATGCGATACCAGCGGTTAATAAGCCGTGGGGGTAAGGAGTGTACTACCCAGGTGCGGAAGCGGGATGGTTGGGATCGTCCTGGCGGGATCCCCCGCCGCGGCGCGGAGAAGAAGGGCATATGCTCAACCGTTGAGGCTCGCATTTCGCGCATACAATAAGAAAAAAATTGCCCAGTGATAGTGTCTTGAAAATTGAGTATATAATTCAATGACAAAAGACGCAATTTCAATTCTCAGTAATAAAAAAATAACAAGGGCCAAAAGGGGGGAAAAACACGGCTCGCATTCTTACGAGAGAAATAGATAATATAAAGAGCGAAAGGAAGGAAAACACAGTTACCAGAAAAAAAATGAGACAGTAGCCTGTGGAAAACTGCCAAACTCTCAACTCTTTATATCTCTGGCAGGACTCGATGAGCAAAGCAGTGATAACGGTTACTCGCTACGGTAACCTGAACGATCGACTACGAAACAAAGACAGAACCCTAGGCGAAAAGCGGCGAATTAAAAGAGAAGAGAAAGGTATGGGAGAAACCACGTTTAGCTAAAAAAGAAGAAGATAAATGAATAAACTAGTAAAAATAAGGAACAGTGGAAAAAGCAAACACTTTCTTGCCACCTCTGTCTTGTACGTTTGTGCGGCCGCAGCTGCTCTAGGCAAAGCGGTAATGCACCGCCCTGGCAGTGCTTAACGTTTCTGTGAAGAGAGAGAAAGAGAGAAAAAGGAAAAAAGTGGCACAGTAAAGGAGAAGCGAAGGGGCGTACAATCTAGCTGCATTCGAGACAACAAGATCTGGCTGCTTACTCGCACACACCTGGTCATCGACGGCCTATTCGATCGGTTCTTGGTGTATATATATATATATATATATATATTGGTAAAGAGGGACATAACCATTCAGTGATTATCGTCGTTGTCTGAGTAAATGATATGCAACAGAAAGAACGCATCGTTGTTGCGCACAAGTTCGCACTTAGACAGAGATAGTTACGTTCTTTTTTCCTTTTATGTTTCTCACTTGAGGCGTTACAGCTACACAGCGGTCGTACCTACTTTTAAAGCAACCACACCCTTTTTAAACATACTTTTCTTCTATTTGAAAAACTTCTTCATAAAGTGGCGGTGCGCAACGGAGTCCTGCGTACGGTTCAACACCGAGTTCCATTTCTCCTTCTGCTTCCCGTCGGCTGTGGTCGGCCTTGACGAAACGCGCCACGCTGCGTTGCGGAAGAGAACGTCGTGGTCGTAGCTGTTTGCGCCTACACCGCTGGCAGATGCTTGTCTTTCGGGAGGCGCATTCGCCGATTTTGCCGCCTCTCTGGAGGTGGTCGCGCCACTGCTTGACTTCTCCTGATGTCGGTGGCGCTGTTCGCGCAGCTTCGCTAAGCGCGCGTTTTCGCGTTCGATTTCGTCGTCGCTGTCGTCATCATCACTGTCACTGCTGCTGCTGCTGCTGCTGCTTGCTTGAGCAGATTTAGATGTCATTGCTGCCGCTGCTGTAGATTGGTCGGTCGAGGTTTTGAGGTGCTCTTTTTGAGCTGGCGAGGCCCGCAAGTCGCTCTCCCCTTCGCCGCCGTCCTCGCTGTGGGAAGCTGCCTTGTTCGCCTCTTCGTTCGCTTTTGTCATCGACACCGCCGCAGGCGACGGACCGTCGACGCGGCGTCGTTTGATGTTACCCTGCCCTGGGAGGCTTTCCTTGTGCACAATTCCAGACATGCTGAAGCGATGATAAGGATAGGACGCAGTCTCTGTTTTTCTCTCTTTTCTACACAGTTGAGAAATGTGTTGGTTGCCTTGCCAGGTCTTTCAGCTGAACGAACAATACTGTTGACAAGGAAAGAAAGCGAGAGGTGGAGGGAGAGAGAGGGAAAACGCATGTATGCAGTTGAGGGGTGCGCAAGTAACATCAAGTCCATTTACGTCCCTCGTCATAAAACGTGAATTCGCAAAGAGGGGGACTGAGCTGGGCAACGCCAGTGAAAAGCTCTGCAACTCAACGCCTCCTTTTACCTTTTCCTTTCGCGAACATGCTGCATGGGGTGATGTGAAGGGAAAGCCACTAAGGCACAAACGCACGTGCCAGATGAGGGATGAGACATCAACAACACAGTGGATGAGCAGACAGAAAAGAAAAAAAAGCAAAACCGTAGAGTGCCGATGTTCACCATAATACGTAAAAAGAGCAAGACGTCAAAAAGAGGAGGAGAAGACCTCCCCTTCTCACCCCCAAACACAGCAGCGCGGCGCCTTCCACAGCACGACAGACGGCGTAGCAATGACAATTGGGTACAATCTATCGCTGCTGCCCTTCAACTGTGAAGAAGGAAAGCGCGCCGAGCAAACCCCTTCGCACCCCCTAAAAAACAGCAGCGAACTTGTCTCGACCAAAAACTTCCTATATTGGAGATGCGAGAGTGCTGCGCAAGTGAGGGCGGCGGAGAAGGGACGTAGGTGCGTGTGTGGTCACTGATGGTGGGAAAAAAAAGAATGCGACCTCGACCTTCAACGACTCGAAGCAAGGTATGCTTGCTATTTCTTCTCTTTCCTCCCAGGCTTATGAAACCGACGCGGCGGCTTCTAACTCGAAGTCCGCCACGTCATCTCTGCCCATTCGATGCGCGAGGCGCTCCTCCATGTTTGCAATGTGGAACCGTTTCTCCGCCGCCGCTGGCAGCATCAGCGCGAGAAAGGAGTTGCAGGTGTAGGTGAGAAGATGAAGCACGCTGCTGAGGGTGAGAAAAGTGTTCAGGAGGAAGGCACGGTACAACTCCGCCACCCACACCCGTGTCCGGGAGGAGAAGCGATTAACCCGGCCGGCGACCGTCTTGTCTTCGGCTTCGATTTGCGCAAGAGCCGCCTCTTGCTCCGCCCGCACGGCCTCTGCAGAAGCGTTGTACACGCTGCCATAGTCCTGACAGGAGTCCATGCGCACACTGAGCGGCACACCGCGCTCTTCCATCGCCAGCTGCATTCTGGATAGGTAGCGCTCCACTGCGTCGTAATTGTGCAGGGGTCCCAGACACTCCACCGCGCTCTTGACGAACATGTTAATGCGGTTGACTGGTGAGCCGTAGAGGCGGTTGATGCCGCGCAGGATATCAAGGCTGCGGCCCACCATGATCAGCTCCTTCGGTATGCGCCGCATGTCACGCAGCATCTCCTTCGCGCGGGCGTGCGCGTTGCGCTGCATCTCGAACACCTCCTCCCGCGTCACTTCGCCGTACTGCCCTGCTTTGATCGCTGCAAAGGACTTCTGTGCCTGCACCGAGGCGAACATCTCCGCGTCCGCAATACCCCAGTCGTGTACGACCCGCTGAAGAGAGTCGAAGTCGCGGGTAAAGAGGCTGACGAAGAGTAGCGCGTACTGGTAGCGGAAGCGCACCCGCTCCGGCACCGCAAGACCAAAATCAATCAACACCACTTGATAGTCGTTTGGATTGTGCTTTCGCTTCTGGTCTGCAGAGGGCAGAGGCACGGGGGCGGCTGCCCCGTGATTTTTCATCGGCATCGGCCGCACCAGCACGTTCGCCGCGTGCGGATCGCTGTGCACAAATCCTTTTTTAAACACCATATCGCCTACTGCGTCAAAGAGAGTGGTGAGCACCTTCTTCTCGTCGTAATGGGCGCGCACCGTCGCGACATCTAACAGTTTCGTGCCGTCAATCCACTCCATCACCAACAGCTGCTTCGTGGTGAACTCGTCGAAGATACGCGGGATGTAGACCCGCTCGCTGCCCGCAAAGTCGCGCCGGAAGCGCCTCGCATTGGCCGCCTCCATCGTAAAGTCCATCTCCCGCTCCAGCGCGTCGCACACCGTCTGGCACGACCAGTCCGTCGGGAGGTCAAAGAGCAGCTTCAGCAGCTTCATGATGGTGCTGTAGGTGTACAGATCCCACATAGACTGCGTCGAGATGCAGGGCTTGCGCACCTTCACCGCCACCTTCACGGGTTCGCTCGACGAGCCATCGACGGGCGGGGGCAACCACGCTTGGTGCACCTGCGCGATAGACGCGGAGGCGACGGGGATGTCGTCGAAGTGCAGAAAGACGTCTTCTAGCTTTTTACCGGTATCTTCCATAATGGTCTGGCGAACCTTCTCCACCGGCACGGGTGGTGCACGGTCCAGCAACACCTTCAGGGTATCTGTGTACTCCTTCGGCAGCACGTGACTCATCGAGTTAAGTCCTTGCCCAGCTTGATGTACAAGCCTTCGTTTTTTAGACAGGTGTCGAGCACGATGTGCGCGACGCGACTGTGCAGTGCGGAGAGCTCCTCTGGTGTGTCGGGCGTGGTGAACTTGTACCAGTAGGCAATCTTCGCAAAGGCGGCGAGGGTGCGCAGGGAGCGGGTACCCGAGTTGTCGGTTAAGCTGTCAAAGACGTAGAACGCACCCCCGACGGCACCGGTGGCGTAGGCGAGCCTCATTGCCCATTTGCGTCCTCGTGCAGCAACCATCTCGCTTCGCAGCTCTTGTACGCCGCGTTGAAATAAAAGAGAGGGATGAAGCGCTCGAACCAAGAAGAAGAAATAATACAGATCGGGATAGCAGCAACAATAATAGTAATAGTAATATGCCTGCAGGTGTGCAGCTTGGTGGAGAACAGCGACAACAAGAAAGAAGCCCAAATAAAGACCTAATTGATATAATTATATAAACGACAAAAACACGAATAAATGCAGCGGAATACTCTCCTTGAAAGGGAAAGGGAAATAAAAAATGCTCAAAACAACGCTGCGTTTTTCATCGCTTCAATGCCCGTGATTGTCACCTAACTAAGAGAGAGAGAGGGTGGAGAGTACTCTGAGGGAGCATGCGAAGCAGGGGCCCCAGAAAGTAGAACAAATCCTAACATATCGGTCATTACTTGCATTATTCATAGTCAGTGGCGAGACCAGCTACCGCGGGGGAACTACCCGACTAGTTCCGCTCGCAGCGCTGGGTTAGATACAAACTAAGGTTTAGAAAAAACTAGGGAGAGTCACGGCCAAGTAATCCGCAGAACAACGGACAGCAAGGGAAAAACACAGTCAAAACCCCCGCTCAACATTTTGTTAAACCAATACTCGGCCGGACCTCCATCTCTTGTGTTAATGATCCCGTGGCCATTTGCCCAGGATCGTGGTGAAAAGAATACAAACGTCCAGGAGCAGTTAACTAGGCACCCTTAATTAGGCAGGTAACCTTCGCTCCGACTTAGGACAACAATGAGAAAGAAAATAACGGGGAAAAATTTCAAAACCCCCGAAAGATTTAAGAAAGAAAAAACTCAGAGAACGATGAGACCCGATAAACGATTAACAAAAAACAATAACTGGACTGGGTGGGAGTATGAACAAGAAAAAACTTTGTCAAGTGACCAAAACGAAAGCGCTAGGCTTCACGAAATGTGTAAAAATATGTAAAAAGGGAGAAAGGGGGGAGAGAGAGTAGATGCATTGGCAGGGAGAAAGGTAGATTCATTCCAACTGACCCGAAGGGATCACACTCGACACGCCTGAATCACTCCAGATTAGGCTTTCCTGATGGCTGCAACGGATGCGTTGGGTGTCTGCGCGCGCGCGCGTGTGTGTGTGTGTGTGTGTGTGTGTGTGTGTGTGTATGATCGAAAGAGAAAACGAAGTTACAACCGATAACAAGAACAAAATGGTTTAGTGCCGCTGCTCGCTGCCACCTCACCCGCCCTCAGAAAAAACCCGAATCACCAGAAGCTACGTTTTATTCTGCGTTTGCAAAGTATGTGAGGTGCGCATAAAGTTTACACGCGACGAATACGTTAGAAAGAAAAGGCCGCCAAGGAAACGTGTATAATGACCGAGTTTACACATATTTACGGTAATTTTGAAAGAGTGAAGGAGAGAGAGAGGGAGGGAGGGAGGGAAAGGAGGGGAAGGGAGAACCGTATTTGCCTCCCGTTATTCCTCGGCGAATTGTATTGGTGCAGTTTCAAAAACCGTAGCGAAGTACCAAACGACGCAGAGACTTCTTTTATGGACCTGACGTTGATGTTCACCAGAAAGAGATGGAGAGAGAGAGGCAAAGGTAAAAGCGGAAAAGAAAAAAAAAGAAAGGAAAGGATAAGGAAGCATGCGAGAAAGCCATGTAGGTGAAGCAACATCCATGGTGCATTCACGTGACACAAATCGGAAAATAGATAAATAAAGCCATAACAATCAACGTTGATCGAGCAGCTGCTGCGGAGATGAGTTCATTTGCTGTCCCACCAACCATCGAAAAAATGAGGAAGCCAGCTAGATCAAGAGAAGTTTGAGGGATCCGCAAACCAACGGATCACTGGCGCATTTTTTTTTCTCAACTGCCTTCCTTTCCGTCCTTTTCTTAAAGGACGTTGATACCTTGTTCGGGAAAATAAAGAAGTAAACAACCACAACTCTTACATACGCAACCTCACTCGTAGTTTTACCTCTTCACGTTGCTACATCCGAGCAACTTCCGTGTACGCGCTACAAGTGGAGAGTGTGAAAAAGAATGATGGAGAAAAACAAACAAAACAAAAAATGAGATGCATTTTTATCTGTTCGAAAGGAGAATGGAAACACTATCAGAGGAAAGCCGTTACCTCCCTGACAAAAAACATAAAAACAACAACGATGAAAGCTCTAGTACATTTTCTTTTCTTTTGTTTCAGGAATGCACTTCAAGCTTCACTCTCTACGTATGATTTTTTTACGTTTGCAACCTTTGTTGTGAAAGACACAAGTTAGAAGATAAAGAAAAACGTTTTTTAAAAGATTTTTACGTCACACCTCACGTGCAATAAACAGCTCCATACAACGAGTTGCTTTCCTGTTCGTCTCAGCCCGCAGAGCCGGCGCCATCGATGGACAGCGCCGACCCCCGCATCTCCTTCGCGGCCGGGCTGCACAGAAACACCACCGCCTGGCCCACCGCATCGGGCGAGACAAACTGCAGCGATGGCTGCTTCTCTGTCATGAGTTGCAGCGTCACCTTCTCCACATCCCCGCCGTAGGACTCGTCGGCCATCTTCACAATTTCTTTGCGCAGTAGCGGCGTGTCCACGAAACCGGGGCAGACCGCATTACACGTAATGTCCATCAACGCGGTCTCGAGCGCCACCGACTTGGTGAGCCCTATTACGGCGTGTTTGCTGGCGCTGTAGGCCGTCTTGCTCGCATTCCCCACCAGACCCAGAATGGAGGAGATGTTCACGATACGGCCCCACTTGTGCTGCTTCATGAGAGGCAGGACGAGCTGCACCATGTGAAACACCGAATTCAGGTTCACATCAATGATGTCGTCCCAGTCCTCCACCGGCAGCTCATCGACCAGGCCGACGTGCTGCACACCGGCGCAGTTCACCAAGATGTCGATGCGGTCAAACTCCGCCTCCACCGCCTTCACCATGCTCGCCATGGAGGCCCGATCTTTCATGTCGGCGGGGGCGTAGATCACCTTGCCGTGATGCGGTGCGGCGGCTTTTATACGCTCCATGATGGCGGTTGTGGGTGTGTCCTGGCGGCCATTCACGGCCACACTGCAGCCCACTTTCGCAAGCTCGATGCAGATGGCTTCGCCGATGCTGCCAAGCCCGCCGGTGACAAGGGCCGTTTTTCCTCGAAGGAAGGGTTGATACATGACTTTCAGCCAAAGAGAAGAGGAAAATGCAGTAGTGGAGTGGTGAACAAGAGGCAGTTTAAAAGAAAAAAACACGAGCACCTGATAGTCGAGGTTTCCTTTATTTTGTTTCGATACAACAAATGGAGATCTACGAAAGTGATGTGTTGTCACGCCAAACAGTACGTATGTGGAGGTATGTGGAGGGGGAGAGGGAAAGGAGTGTTGTTGTTTACAAGTCCTAGTCAACGTATATATAATAAACTACAAGAGAAAACAAATCCGCAGCAGTTGCCGCAGTTTGCACAGAGGTGCTTACATAAAATACGGCTGCAAATTCCTCGGCGTTTCGGAGGTGCCTTTTTGATGCTTAGCGGTTCGCTTACAGAAGGAAACACAACTACATAAAAGCGTGGCTTCTTCACAAACAGCTGAAAACCAAAACTTCACTTGCTAGCTGAATCTTCGTACCGACACTCCACCAACTGAATAACGCGCTCCGGATCCACACCGTGTTGCAGCAACCTGGCGGCCACCAGCAGCGCAGGATGCGTTGCGTCACTGCCACACGGCTGCTGACGTTGAAGAGGCGACGCGAGAAGGTAGGCCATAGCGGACAGCGCTTCCAGTTGTTCCACCGACACCCCATACGGAGTTGCGCTTTCACTGGATTTGAAGGCGGAGGAAGGAGAGGGCCGTGCAGCAGACGTGGTCGATGACGGCGCGTCTGCCATCGAGGACCCTTCTAGTTGAGCGCTTGAGGTTGCCATCGCGGGGGGAGAGAAGGGGAAGAGGACAGTACAAAACGTTTCTATGCGAGGTATGGACCAGCGTGTACACTTCGGCGTGTAGATGCAGAGTGCCGCCACTGCCAGGTCACAAGTACGAGAAGGAGACCGAGGGGGTGGGGTGGGGGGAAAGAGAACGCGTGCGCATTTGAAAGCCTTTTTCCCTCGCCGCTATTACGGTCGAGCAGAGCGAACGGGGCACCAAAGAAATGCACAAGCATCACAGAATTCACAGCAGATCCATGGCATGCTAAAGGAATTCATGGCTGAAGGGCTAAAACAGGAACGCACATCCGTCCACACAACGACTTCTTTCAATGGCGATGAACGTGAGGTTCTCACTGCTTAATATAGCCCCTCTTTTTTTTCCCCCTTTTTAAAGGACGGCCAGCACGTGTGCAAAAGCGGGGTCGCAACAACAACACAAAAAGACGCTGGCGATAGCAGCGCAGTTTACATGTACTCTGGTGGGCGTTTTGCATTAAAACAAAGCAAAAAAAAAGAAGCAACAATTCGTTCTGATAGAGCGGGGAGAAACGTAAAAAACAAACCCAACGTTGCAGCAACCTCGGTGACAAGAAACGCCCCAGAGGCGGATGAGATTATACAAGAAGCGTTTTAAAAAACCCACAAAGCAAGAGTAACATAGCAGTAGTACCACAGCAAAGTACGTAGGAAGACTCCTGTTCCACGGCGGCGTCGACTGTTGGACTCATTGGCCGGCTTACAGCGGCAATTCGTTCTCCACGACGTCCACTGCTACTTAACGTCCGCCGTTTGCCCCGTCTCCGTGCCGAGGTGTACACCGCAGAGATTCTTCACCCTTTTCGCTTGCCGCCAACGGTTGGCCTTTGCACACAAGGACCTCACCGACACCTGCCACCACATCGGGGCTCTCGCGATGTCCACCATCGTCACGTCCGCGGCGTCGTAGTCGCACACAACGGACACGCCACGCCGCTCCAGCGTGTAGTCCATCGCGAGGTAAAACACAAGCGACAAGCCCATCGCCGCGGCAGCGCAGAGAAACATCTTGCGTGGACCCACCAGGCTGTACAGCGTGCCAGCCACCAGGTTGCCGACCACAGGACCAACGCCGCTCATAAAGGTGAAGAGCACGCCGGTGGCGGAGCTGGACAGCTTGGGCGGGAAGGCGCGTGCAACGAGGTGCACGGACGGCAGCCACATGAAGGAGAAGGTGACGCCGTGCAGCGGCTCGATCAGCAGCACCCACCACGGGTTCCTGAGCAGCGAGTAGCACACCACGCGGAAGGTCCACACGCTCATGGCGATGGTCATCATGTGGCGCTCCGTAAACATCTGGTGCAGCCGCTCCGACATCTGGAACAGCGGGATCTCCGTGCTGACGGTAAGGACGATGGTGAGGCCCATCAGGAACTTGGAGCCGCCGAGGTCCTTTAAGAACAAAAACAGGAAGTTGGTGATGAAGCTGTAGCCCGTGCCCATCATGGTCACGGCGAAGATGAACAGCGTCAGCCGCACGTTTGTGGCGAGCAGGTGGAGCACCTCCTTGAAGCGCACCGGCACCTTCTCGATCTCCTCGTACGGCATCACCACCATCATGCAGTAGGCCAGGCCCAATTGGCCAACGAAGAACTGCGCCGCCACCGCCACCCAGCTCTTGGTCACCGTGTAGATCAACGAGGCAACGAGGCTGCCAAGGCCCCATCCATACGCCCCGTACGAGCGTACGTAGCTCCACGCGCTGGACCGACCGTCCTTAGGAAACATCATCAGTGTGCGCTGGTCAAGAAGAGGGTTCATGACGATGCGCGACGCGGACATCACCAGGAAGAAGATGACTACCAGGTAGGACGCAGAGGACATGGTGTAGGCGAACGCGGAGGCGGATGAAATCACGATGCTCGTCAGCACCATTTTTGTCTCACAGCGAAACTTGTCGGCGAGGTAGCTCAGGGTGGGAAGAAGCGTCATGCTGAGCAGCGGGTTCGATGCCACGAGAATGCCGATCTGATAAGGAGAGAAACCTTTCGCATCTAGGATCTGACTGTGAAACGGAATGATGCCGTTTCCAAACATCATACCGAAGTAGCCGATAATTGCAGGTGCGATGCTGACTTTCACGGCTGCAGCGTCCGCGGCACCTTCTTCGCCGTTCATGACGCCTTCATCGGTAGCTTCGCGAAGTGGGGAGCCTTCCTTCTCCCCAGCAGCGGCTGCTGTCCCGGAATTGTTCTCGCCGGCGCTGTCATCGTCGTGCATCTCGCCAGGCAGGGGGTCTCGCGAGGTAGGTGGCATCGTGAGCTCAGATGAGCGCAGCAAGCAGTATTGCAGAAGCAATCAACCATAACGACACGTCGCACACGTGTTGGTGTTCAGGGAGCGACGAGCGACGAGCGACTGACCTTCGCGAGCTCAATTAGCAGCGTTGATACGAACAAAGCACTATTCAGAGTGGTGCAGGTGCGAGCAACACGAAAGAGCGAGTTTGCCTTGCAGTTAGCAAAATGGATGCACAGGAGGCAGAGGAACGAGAGTCCGCAGAGAGAGAGAGAGAGAGAGAGCAACACGCGACGATGCACAAAGGGACCGCAGCTACCAAATGCGCCAGAGCTCCTTCGACTCTCACCGTCTCGAAAGCGACAAGTGGTGTGAAGGACACCTGCGCAGCTACAGCCGCAAGGCCACCGATAGGGAGTGCCCACGGTTCTCTGTGTCGCACTGAGAACGCTGAAGCACCACGCACCGATACAGCTCAAAAACACATCACCTGTTTTTTTTTGGAAATTCCACCCATCGTTGGGTGTGCAACGCGCAGAGAAAAGCGAAGTGAGCAGCAAAAGAAAAAGGAGAAGGGAAGACGGTGGCGTCACGATGTGCTCAGTAAGAACGTAGGTAATGGGGGCTACAGTGATAACAGGAAAACACACAACGACCATCGTACGTTCAACGCTTCGTTCCACTGCTACAATATGTGGCGTAAGGCCAAAAACAAAGCAAAACATGAACTAAAGAAAAGGCTGCAATCGTAGCGGCTGGAGTGCCGCAAGACAGCAATTTCGTTTAAAGCCTGTAGTCTTACAGTTAGAATACATATACATATATATTTTGATGTAAAGATACTGCGTACTACCTGCCTGGCATAATTTAAGATGCATGCCAGCTACTGCCGTAACTTACTTTCAACGACGTCGAGTACTATTTTGCGGCCGCCGTTTACGCCCTCACTCTCCTGCTGCGAGTAGGAGGCCGGCTTCGACACAGCATCCTCCGTTCTTCTGCCCCCTTCAGTGCGAGGCGCATCGTCCGCCGAGTGTGGACGTCGATCGTTGCCGTCTTCACCCTCTCGATGTCCACCATCGTCACGTCCGCGGCGTCGTAGTCGCACACAACGGACACGCCACGCCGCTCCAGCGTGTAGTCCATCGCGAGGTAAAACACAAGCGACAAGCCCATCGCCGCGGCAGCGCAGAGAAACATCTTGCGTGGACCCACCAGGCTGTACAGCGTGCCAGCCACCAGGTTGCCGACCACAGGACCAACGCCGCTCATAAAGGTGAAGAGCACGCCGGTGGCGGAGCTGGACAGCTTGGGCGGGAAGGCGCGTGCAACGAGGTGCACGGACGGCAGCCACATGAAGGAGAAGGTGACGCCGTGCAGCGGCTCGATCAGCAGCACCCACCACGGGTTCCTGAGCAGCGAGTAGCACACCACGCGGAAGGTCCACACGCTCATGGCGATGGTCATCATGTGGCGCTCCGTAAACATCTGGTGCAGCCGCTCCGACATCTGGAACAGCGGGATCTCCGTGCTGACGGTAAGGACGATGGTGAGGCCCATCAGGAACTTGGAGCCGCCGAGGTCCTTTAAGAACAAAAACAGGAAGTTGGTGATGAAGCTGTAGCCCGTGCCCATCATGGTCACGGCGAAGATGAACAGCGTCAGCCGCACGTTTGTGGCGAGCAGGTGGAGCACCTCCTTGAAGCGCACCGGCACCTTCTCGATCTCCTCGTACGGCATCACCACCATCATGCAGTAGGCCAGGCCCAATTGGCCAACGAAGAACTGCGCCGCCACCGCCACCCAGCTCTTGGTCACCGTGTAGATCAACGAGGCAACGAGGCTGCCAAGGCCCCATCCATACGCCCCGTACGAGCGTACGTAGCTCCACGCGCTGGACCGACCGTCCTTAGGAAACATCATCAGTGTGCGCTGGTCAAGAAGAGGGTTCATGACGATGCGCGACGCGGACATCACCAGGAAGAAGATGACTACCAGGTAGGACGCAGAGGACATGGTGTAGGCGAACGCGGAGGCGGATGAAATCACGATGCTCGTCAGCACCATTTTTGTCTCACAGCGAAACTTGTCGGCGAGGTAGCTCAGGGTGGGAAGAAGCGTCATGCTGAGCAGCGGGTTCGATGCCACGAGAATGCCGATCTGATAAGGAGAGAAACCTTTCGCATCTAGGATCTGACTGTGAAACGGAATGATGCCGTTTCCAAACATCATACCGAAGTAGCCGATAATTGCAGGTGCGATGCTGACTTTCACGGCTGCAGCGTCCGCGGCACCTTCTTCGCCGTTCATGACGCCTTCATCGGTAGCTTCGCGAAGTGGGGAGCCTTCCTTCTCCCCAGCAGCGGCTGCTGTCCCGGAATTGTTCTCGCCGGCGCTGTCATCGTCGTGCATCTCGCCAGGCAGGGGGTCTCGCGAGGTAGGTGGCATCGTGAGCTCAGATGAGCGCAGCAAGCAGTATTGCAGAAGCAATCAACCATAACGACACGTCGCACACGTGTTGGTGTTCAGGGAGCGACGAGCGACGAGCGACTGACCTTCGCGAGCTCAATTAGCAGCGTTGATACGAACAAAGCACTATTCAGAGTGGTGCAGGTGCGAGCAACACGAAAGAGCGAGTTTGCCTTGCAGTTAGCAAAATGGATGCACAGGAGGCAGAGGAACGAGAGTCCGCAGAGAGAGAGAGAGAGAGAGAGCAACACGCGACGATGCACAAAGGGACCGCAGCTACCAAATGCGCCAGAGCTCCTTCGACTCTCACCGTCTCGAAAGCGACAAGTGGTGTGAAGGACACCTGCGCAGCTACAGCCGCAAGGCCACCGATAGGGAGTGCCCACGGTTCTCTGTGTCGCACTGAGAACGCTGAAGCACCACGCACCGATACAGCTCAAAAACACATCACCTGTTTTTTTTTGGAAATTCCACCCATCGTTGGGTGTGCAACGCGCAGAGAAAAGCGAAGTGAGCAGCAAAAGAAAAAGGAGAAGGGAAGACGGTGGCGTCACGATGTGCTCAGTAAGAACGTAGGTAATGGGGGCTACAGTGATAACAGGAAAACACACAACGACCATCGTACGTTCAACGCTTCGTTCCACTGCTACAATATGTGGCGTAAGGCCAAAAACAAAGCAAAACATGAACTAAAGAAAAGGCTGCAATCGTAGCGGCTGGAGTGCCGCAAGACAGCAATTTCGTTTAAAGCCTGTAGTCTTACAGTTAGAATACATATACATATATATTTTGATGTAAAGATACTGCGTACTACCTGCCTGGCATAATTTAAGATGCATGCCAGCTACTGCCGTAACTTACTTTCAACGACGTCGAGTACTATTTTGCGGCCGCCGTTTACGCCCTCACTCTCCTGCTGCGAGTAGGAGGCCGGCTTCGACACAGCATCCTCCGTTCTTCTGCCCCCTTCAGTGCGAGGCGCATCGTCCGCCGAGTGTGGACGTCGATCGTTGCCGTCTTCACCCTCTCGATGTCCACCATCGTCACGTCCGCGGCGTCGTAGTCGCACACAACGGACACGCCACGCCGCTCCAGCGTGTAGTCCATCGCGAGGTAAAACACAAGCGACAAGCCCATCGCCGCGGCAGCGCAGAGAAACATCTTGCGTGGACCCACCAGGCTGTACAGCGTGCCAGCCACCAGGTTGCCGACCACAGGACCAACGCCGCTCATAAAGGTGAAGAGCACGCCGGTGGCGGAGCTGGACAGCTTGGGCGGGAAGGCGCGTGCAACGAGGTGCACGGACGGCAGCCACATGAAGGAGAAGGTGACGCCGTGCAGCGGCTCGATCAGCAGCACCCACCACGGGTTCCTGAGCAGCGAGTAGCACACCACGCGGAAGGTCCACACGCTCATGGCGATGGTCATCATGTGGCGCTCCGTAAACATCTGGTGCAGCCGCTCCGACATCTGGAACAGCGGGATCTCCGTGCTGACGGTAAGGACGATGGTGAGGCCCATCAGGAACTTGGAGCCGCCGAGGTCCTTTAAGAACAAAAACAGGAAGTTGGTGATGAAGCTGTAGCCCGTGCCCATCATGGTCACGGCGAAGATGAACAGCGTCAGCCGCACGTTTGTGGCGAGCAGGTGGAGCACCTCCTTGAAGCGCACCGGCACCTTCTCGATCTCCTCGTACGGCATCACCACCATCATGCAGTAGGCCAGGCCCAATTGGCCAACGAAGAACTGCGCCGCCACCGCCACCCAGCTCTTGGTCACCGTGTAGATCAACGAGGCAACGAGGCTGCCAAGGCCCCATCCATACGCCCCGTACGAGCGTACGTAGCTCCACGCGCTGGACCGACCGTCCTTAGGAAACATCATCAGTGTGCGCTGGTCAAGAAGAGGGTTCATGACGATGCGCGACGCGGACATCACCAGGAAGAAGATGACTACCAGGTAGGACGCAGAGGACATGGTGTAGGCGAACGCGGAGGCGGATGAAATCACGATGCTCGTCAGCACCATTTTTGTCTCACAGCGAAACTTGTCGGCGAGGTAGCTCAGGGTGGGAAGAAGCGTCATGCTGAGCAGCGGGTTCGATGCCACGAGAATGCCGATCTGATAAGGAGAGAAACCTTTCGCATCTAGGATCTGACTGTGAAACGGAATGATGCCGTTTCCAAACATCATACCGAAGTAGCCGATAATTGCAGGTGCGATGCTGACTTTCACGGCTGCAGCGTCCGCGGCACCTTCTTCGCCGTTCATGACGCCTTCATCGGTAGCTTCGCGAAGTGGGGAGCCTTCCTTCTCCCCAGCAGCGGCTGCTGTCCCGGAATTGTTCTCGCCGGCGCTGTCATCGTCGTGCATCTCGCCAGGCAGGGGGTCTCGCGAGGTAGGTGGCATCGTGAGCTCAGATGAGCGCAGCAAGCAGTATTGCAGAAGCAATCAACCATAACGACACGTCGCACACGTGTTGGTGTTCAGGGAGCGACGAGCGACGAGCGACTGACCTTCGCGAGCTCAATTAGCAGCGTTGATACGAACAAAGCACTATTCAGAGTGGTGCAGGTGCGAGCAACACGAAAGAGCGAGTTTGCCTTGCAGTTAGCAAAATGGATGCACAGGAGGCAGAGGAACGAGAGTCCGCAGAGAGAGAGAGAGAGAGAGAGCAACACGCGACGATGCACAAAGGGACCGCAGCTACCAAATGCGCCAGAGCTCCTTCGACTCTCACCGTC